GGCCTGCACTGCAAAAACAATAAAAGTTACATGAATGTAATGTAGAGTGAAAATGTATCTCTTAAATAGTTCTAAAAAAAAGTCCGTGACACCATGTATATATTTTTAATGTGTAAGCCATTACCGCTAAAATAGTGCATCAAAACTAAAATATTATTTGATATCTATTTCCAAAATGCACATTTTATATTAACAAATATTTTTTTATCAAAACAAATACTTTTATCGCTTTTGATATTTAAAGACGATAAACTTTGCATTTTACGCTATGTCATTTCGACAAATATTTAAAAAGTTACAACGATGACAAAGTGATAGCGCGGTGTACTATGTAGAAGTAGACTGCGTGAATACGAAGAGAAGAAATTTAATTTAGGTGTTTATTATCGTGGGCTACTCGCAGTATCTGATCCTATACGAAGTACTTACAATAAAACTGTCATACAGTTCTTTCTTATTAAACGATGAAAAATAAATTATCATAATAGGTATTTATGATTATTGAATTTAAATGAAAAACTCAGAATTATACTGTTTTTATTTTTTTTAACGATATGACTTAATGTTACAAAAAGGGTATACTTAATATAATGACAAATAACCCATTTTTCGCTAGAAGGTACATACTTATTGGAATCCCTGTATTTATTAATCAGCTCGCGATAATATTGGTTTTGTAATTATAAACGATAATTCTTCAAAATTCAAAGTAAATAATAAGATTTTCATCACCCTACACCTATAAGTATTGCGATATTGTAGCTAAGAACCAAGTTCCCATCTACTTCTATAGGGTAATTCATTATAATCGATTTAGCTATTAGGATACGGAAGCGCAACTCACTTTCGCATCTATAATATTATAATGTATTAACTTACTAGTGATCCACCCCGGATTTCCCATTATTGAAAAATATTATGTATTCTTGAATATCTAATGGGTCCCGACTGTTAAAGTAGCTTTGTTCCTTATTAACAGAATTATAGACTACTGGACTTGTTTGTTTCTTTTCAGTTTTTATTTGAAGTATAGTTCAGCAGTCGGGTTTTTTGATTTTTTAAATTTACCTTTTTTTAGGTATTTTTTACATACGTTGGGTTACATTATCGAAGTTTTCATATGGAACCCTAACTTTTTTGAAAATACACTATAGCCGAGATTAATCAGTAATAATGTACCATTAAAATGGTAAAAGAATTTTTAAAATCGGTCCAGTACTTTTTGAGCCAATTCGTTACAAACATAATTACATACAAACCTTTCCTCTTTTTAATGTTAATATAGATAAACATTTTACTTACTTTAATTTGAAATCTTTTTTATCAATTAAATATTATTATCCTATCTATACTAACATTATAAAGAGGCAAGAGTTGTATGTTTGTAACAAATAATCTGTCAAACTACTGAACCGATTTCGAAAATTCATTCATCATAAGGTGGCTACATTATTTATTATTATATTTTCATGCATTAATCTCAATATCGTTGATTAATATGCTCGATTTATAAATCTAAAGAAAACTTGAAGTTGAATAAAATCCACTGGTGTCGATTCTGGCGTGATTCTCTAAACTTAAAACTAAATTAAACATCAGTCTCTCCTTTTCATTCCGTATAGAGAATAACAAGGATACACCGTTGTCAAATTTAAGTTTAGGTTTAGAGAATCGTGTCAGAATTGACACCACTGTAACGTTGTTACATATTTATTTTATTAAAACTTATAATATTCTACCTAAAAATTAAATTACGCTTAATATTATTAACTTAAATTGAACATTATTTACACGAATCAGTTTTTTTGAATACCTATTGTTTATAAACACAAAATTCATTTAACATCGGGCAATGAAATTTCGCTGCACGCGCGCTTTCAAGTTTGGCGACTCGTTTGTTGAGTTCCTCCCCCCCCGACCTGCACCGCGCGCTGGCTGCGGCGCGGCCGGCCATCTCACTAGTGTTGGGTAGGACACGACTTGAAAACGAGTTTGTAAGAGTAGCCTCCCTTTTGTACTGAGCCAGTACAATGTCCCACTTCAAATGAGGCGAGGCGTACTGAAGCTCGGCAATACATTTGAAGTGACGAGTACAAATATGACATTGAGGCGTAAAGAAGCTTGACATTACGTTTGTGTGCACGAGTAGCACCTCCTCTACGTACTATCAATCTTGCTGGATCCAGCATGCAGGACAGCGCTATACACGTAAAAGAAATAGAGATCAGATGGATAGTGCGTAGAGGACTTAAATGAAATGTCGTGCCTCGCTCTCTCTCAGACTTACGAAGAGTGAGTGAGTAACGAGACGCGACTATCGCGACATTTAATGTGAAGTAGTACATTTTAAAATTTTGAGCCGCTCTTACATTTTGACCTTATGTCCGGGACAAATGTACCGCCTCTTGTAAGTCCTACTCAACACTACATCTCACACTCCGAAATTGAACTCCAAGCAGACACGCGCTCGTTCTGTGCTCCCAGCGACCTTGCGGACAACGCGCGATCTTTATATTTTTTTTTATTTTTTCTTAATATTACAGGGTCCATGGTGTGGCGTCCACCGTACACCATCGTGTGACAACGACCAGCAATCCATCCCATCACGGTCACCCCATCGCCTGGCGACGACTTCCGACTTCTTTTCGGGACTTCACTGTCGACCAGTACGACCACCGCTTCGTGACCATCTCCATCTTCTCTGGGCCCGGACTTCTCTTCGGCGGAACTACCAGGAGAGTACCAACCCTGGCCGGGAAAGCAAAGAACTTTCAAATACTGTAACGGTTTTTTTTTACCCGGGCACTTCGAACCACGCCCAAATAAATTTGTTGTTCACACCAAGAGTTGGTTTCATTTAAACGCCCTGGCTCGTGACACCACTCTGACAACTTCGCCAAGAGGAATTTTTTCTAGTATTTTTTATAACTACATTTTATCCGAATAAAATGGGCTACATTTTATCCCGTTAAAATAATTTTCACACGTGCAATGATGGGATGGTAAGTATAATATAATATTACTAGCGGACCCGACAGACGTTGTCCTGTCTACACGTCTTTGTGAATCTAAACCATTCTCAGATCCCCTTGAACACACATAAAAAATTTCATCAAAATCGGTCCAGTCGTTTAAGAGAAGTTCAGTGACATACACACTCACAGAAGAATTATATATATAAAGATAGATGCGAAACTGAGTTTGATTTTTACGCTTCCGCGCCCTAATAGCAAAATCAATTATGATGAATTTCCCTATAGAAATAGATGAGCCTTATAAAACTTATAGGCGTAGGGTAATGGAAGGGGTGATTTACCTATAAAACTTTATATTATTTACTTTGAATTTTGCAGAATTATCGTTTATAATATTATCGCGAATCTATTCATTTATGAATTGTTAATATTATTGTATTGTGTATTGTAATATGCTGTATTTAATGTATGATTATTGAAAAACTCTCGTTTTCATTAAATTACAATAATCATACATACCTACTATGATAATTTATTTTTCATCATTTAATAAGAAGGAACTGTAAAATAGTTTTATTGTAAGTACTTCGTATAGGAAAAGATACTGCGAGTAACCTATTTTGCTTTTTCGCCTAGGTTTTATCTACGTTTATAAACACCAAAATTAAATTTCTTCTCCCACTATTCCCGCAGTCTACTCTTACTTAATACTCCGCGCTATCACTTTTTCATCGTTGTAACTTATTAAATATTTGTCGAAATGACATAGTATAAAAAGCAAAGTTTATCGTCTTTTAATATCAAAACCGATAAAAGTATTTGTTTTTATAAAAAATAATTTGTTAATACAATATGCGCACATCAAATAATACTTTATTTTAGATTCACGATTTTAGCGATAATGGCTTGCACATTAGAAATAGATATATGGTGTCGCGGACTTTCTTGTAGAACTTTATAAGAATGTAAGAAACTTAATTATGATTTTGAATTATCTAGATAATGATATCCCACTCGACATATTTCGTCAACTTATGTTTTTTATTTCGTCACAATATGGTGCGTTATCAGGCGCGGTCCGAAGGGGGGGGTCACAGGGGACATGACCCCCCCCCCCCCCAAAATCTAAGGTCATCTTCACATTTGGTACAAAGTAACGTCTTATAGTACCTACAACTGATAAAGAAAAAATTGCGAAAACCGTGAATTTTTAGTTACATCATATAATAAAAAATATTTTTGAAAATTCAGGTGTGTACGGAACCCTCGGTGCGCGAGTTCGACTCGCTCTTGGCCGGTTTTTTTATTAGTGTAATGAGTGACCCCCTCCAAAATTTCAGGCTGCGACCGCGCCTGTGTCTTATTATCCGCATATTGAATTTTGATTACTATCATATCTTTAGTAGCACTCCCATGATTAAGACGAATCGATTGACGTATGAATCATCAAAATCAGTCCACGCGTTTGGTCTCTAGTGTGCCACAAAGGAACATACATACATTTATTAGACTGTTAAACACTATACCCTGTCTGCGCTTCGCGCTTCGCGCTCTTGCATTGCGCAGTCGGGTAAAAAGGCCTCCGTAATATACCTCTCAACCGCCTTGTTGCATCTGTAAAAGTGTGTTCCATTTCCAAGCTCTGAGGCCAAGACATAGTATATAAAATAAGTAGTAAAGTCCTAAATATATAATATAGCGTTGTATGAACGTTTTCGTTCTATGTATATGGTGCGCGATATCGTGTTACAGATGCTATATTGTTAAGCATAGTCTGAACGCACCTTATAGACTGACTGACTGTAGGCCCGATTCTAGCATGATTCTCTGAACCTTAAATTAATGTTGACTACGCTCTTTCCTTGTCATACTCTAGAGAAAGAAAAGGAGATACTATTATCAAATGAAGTTCTGAGAATCAGACCCTCTTATCATGCTCATTCAATTTCATTCACTCATTCATACTTTCTGCTACTATTTATATCATTCAGTATTTCTACCGTGCTCTGTGATTTCTACATGGGTTGTTTTTGTGTCCAAAAACGAAATAAACGCAAAATTTCGAAATAAAGTTCACTAACAAAGCTCAAATCTCCCATTCCTATCTAACTAGTTACACATTTATTTGATCAAATGTGTGACAAAACAATTGTAAGTTTCGACCTTGTGTAAATAATTTCTGTATATGTATTTTGGTTGACAGGGCTCAGTGATGTGAAATATACATTATTTATTACCAAAAAGCATACCATTGATTGCAGATTATATTGTTTTTTAGCAGGATATTGTAACGAAATAACGTGAGAGATAAAGTTTGATACACTATTATGAGTTTTGCGTGTGGTACAGACCACCTGGAAGTCAGGCTAGTAAGTTCACCATGACTATGTTCTCCGCTTCTGGAATGGGAGCAGAACCTCAACAGGCAACGAACCAAGTAGCCCAGAACGGCAGTACCACTTTACCTCGCTCACACCATCAAAGAACAGGTAATTAAGTGTTAACCACCTGTATTGGACCAGAATGTCACTTAATGATATCACATCCTTATTTTAATGTATATACATTCCTAGACTTAAAATATATGGTTATGTTGTGTCACACATCACAATACACTCTACTATAGTATTTTAAAGAAAAACTTTCATATACTTTTGACTCAAAATAACACATTGTTTTGTTGTAATTTAAGGTCGACCACCTGCAGCACCTAAATCCTATGATTATTTGCTAAAAGTCCTTTTAGTTGGAGATTCTGATGTTGGAAAACAAGAAATACTACAGGACTTAGAAGATGGATCAGCAGACTCCCCATTTTGCAGTGGTAGTGGTGAGTATGCATAGCAACATTGTCTCCTGAATTTAATATACTAAATCTACTTACTATTATATTACTGTCTTGAGGATCAATTTCTCAACATAAGCTCAAATATGTTTGTAACTTCCACAACTTGTAATAATATATGATCCCTTTACAAACTTTCATCTCCTCTTATAGGTAGGTGCAAAGAGTTTATTTCTTATGAAAACATACAGTTTAAAACATAACTATAATTGCTATATTTTCTTCTTTCAAATGTTTAGTACTTGAAAAAGTATTCATTTGACATTTTGTGGGTTACCTACAATGCGAAGAGATGGCGCTGCCTTGCAGCTTCAGGCTAGGAAAATTTCGAGGCGGCCAATAGGGCTGTGGTAGCATAATGGTCAGTGCATTCGCCTGCATTGCGAAGGGTGCTGGTTCAAGTCCCGTCCGCTGCCTGGTCCGTGTGGATTTATTTCTAATAAACTTTTCTTTAGATTTAAACATCTAGCAGTTAAATGCTTAAAAATAAATAAAAACATAACATACAGTTTTCTTATAATGAGATTTACATTCGACTATTACTTTGTGACTGCTTCTGCAGTATCGTTTTGTATACAAACATTTACATTACTGTGACTTATTGTACAGCTTTATGTTAACAATATTGTTAAAATTTCCCTATTATTAAATATTAAAGTTAAGTGTGATATAGTCTTTTGATTTACTTTTAAATGTGTTTTTACAATAGCAATTTTTTATTTCATCTGATAGCTCGTTAAACAGTTGTACTCCCTCAGATAATATTGTTTTCCTCCCATAACTAGTCCGTGTATTAACAACATGTAAATGTGTTTGTGTTTCTTAAAGAATGCTTAAATTTTCTTAATTCTTTCTATAACTTGAGATAATATGAGATCCCTATATAAAATTTCTTCTCCTCATATTATTTTATTACCTACCACCTTTATTTTTCTAACAAACAATATTAAGGAATTTATCAAAATAGGATCATTAGGTTCAGTTTGTAAAAAGGCAGATTATACTACACATTTATAAAAAAAAGTAAGGATTAAGCTATTAATTTATTATTTTTGTAGTTTGTGACTTACTTCATTTAAAAGAGTTTTATCAAGAGACAACAATTATGTAGATAGTTATCTTCATTGTCTGTAAGTTCAGTCAAACACTGGATTTGCAACTGAACACCGACTGAAGAATCTTAAAACTAATCTAAAACAATCACAAAAATGAACTATTATTTTTTGTTTTCCAGCTTATAAAACTACAACAATATTATTGGATGGCAAAAGGGTTAAGCTTCAATTATGGGACACATCAGGACAGGGTCGGTTCTGTACTATAATAAGGTCGTACTCACGTGGGGCACAAGGAATACTACTTGTATATGACATTACAAATAAATGGTCTTTTGACAGTATTGATAGGTGGCTTGAAGAAGTAGAACAGGTAAAGTTAATATTATTTTACACAGTAAAGTTTATTTACATTTATGTTTAAATTAATATAAATAGTCATAATATTGTTAAAGTTAAGCATTGTAGTGTTTCATGTCTTTAGTAATGAAAAGTTCTTTAATTTTAGCATGCACCAGGAGTCCCAAAGGTATTAGTTGGCAACCGACTACATCTTGCCTTCAAACGCCAAGTTCAAGAAAGAGATGCAGAGTTATATGCAGCCAAAAATCATATGGCATTTTTTGAAGTCAGTCCTCTATGTGATTTTAATATCAGGGAAAGTTTCTGTGAGCTATCACGGATGGCATTACATCGTAATGGGATGGAAAGATTATGGAGAAGTAATAAAGGTCTGTTCTAATTATTTTTATAAACATATGATCTTGAGTGTAATATAGCTCACAAATTACTATTGTGGAAATGAGAGAAGAAAGAGATTTTTTTTCTTATATTTCCTGAACACCTACAACCTACATAATTGAAACCTGATTTATATTAATCTTTTAGCTTGAAGTATAACACCCATCTAGGAAAGCAATCTCTTCCTTACTGATAACCATAGTGAAACAACACTGAAATGAATAATTTTAAATGAAATTTAGCTCAGATAGTTTGGGATGGCATAAAGTCTAAAAGTAAAAAAAAATATATATTAATCATAACCTTTTATTTGGTTATGATTAATATAATATTTTTTTATTACCAAAACTAATTTTACCCAGACAGAGAAAGAGACAGATTATTGTTAATTTTCCTTGCCTCCACGCTTGTAACAATATTTTTATTTATGTTTTAAGAAGACTAAATATCCCTCTGGAAATAATAATAATTTATTAATAAATGATTTGGTTTACAATAGTTAGTGGCAGGAGTCCCCTTTTAAGCAAATCAATGCTTATGCCAGGCGACTCCGCTCCTCCATTACACATCCATTTTTTATGTAAATTTCACAAACTTAAACAAAAATTTTTTTTATTCTATTTAGAACTTAGATATAAGTTTGCCTATGCATGAATACGTGTATGTATGTATGCATGTATGTTTGAGCTTGAGCATATGTGTGTGTTTAATAAGTCTTTGTGTGCGCATGATTGTTTTTGTGTGAACTTGAGTGTTATAATTTAATAAAGGAAATGAGTTTTAATTGTCTGTGTTATTTTATCTGTTGCAAAAATAATTCTACTTTTTCATAATTCAGGGATTCTAACCAAGTATGTATTAACTTTTTACATTCATTATATGGGAGGGGGTAGATGTCAATTATTTTGTTGATGCTATTGTAAATATGAGATGAAAGACTATTGTGTTGTCTACTTGCAAACTTTGTTTTTGTTTGGGGAACTTTGGCTACGTTATGTTTTCTTCTGCACTCCCTACCACTGGGTACAAATGGCAAATTTCTATGTTTTTTTAATATAATGTGTTTTAAAAATAATTTCCTTACTAAGAGTAACCCGTAATCGACGTAAAGTTGATCAGTAGGGTATCTTACACGTTTAAAACACATTACTTTTATCAGTGCTCGTTGTGAGCGCTCAACCTCAATAAACCTTGTTTTCGCTGCTCCGCCCCACACAGTAATACAGTATACCAAGAGAAACTGAACCAATGCAACGTAAATTCTACTCAAAAGGATCTTTGAAGTATTTTTGTCCATTATATCAGATTTGAAACTGCCCGGTACCACATATCTTAGTGTGCGGAATCCCCATATCAATTTTCTCACTCTTCCAGCCAATTGCTCAAGATGAGGATACCAAGCAAGCTTCTGATCGATAACTGTTGTTATCTAGGTGTTCCTAGATACTTATAATTAGTAACCTTTGTGATCATTGGACAATTGCAGTTTATGTCTGTTGGGTCACTGCAGTCATGGACCTTGAGGCAGAAACAGTTTGTGGGCTGATTATTGTCATAAATACTAAAACATATATATTTAGTTTTAGATAGGAAATAATCATTTATAATGTTAAAATCCATCTAAAGTGAACCAAAGTTACCCAGTTAGTTGAGTAATTTATTTATGTTAAATATGTTGACAGTTGCCCTGTCCTACATAAATCTATATATGTAAAAATAAATCTCTATTTTCTTTCCTCACGCAATAACTCGAGAATGAATTTACCGATTTCATCCTCTTAATTTGATAAGTTTTAAGTTTTCATATACTTTGTAGTAGGTTCTTAGGTGGAATAAATAAGAAAGACGCACAAAAATAAGAAAACTTTATATGTATACTCTAACCAATAGGTACCGCTGCAGCGTGATTTCAGTTTTGTCCATTTTATTTTCTGCAGTTTTCTGCACGTCTCCTTACCTCTCTTATTTTCATATAATAAGTAGGAAACAGAGTTTTGCACAACTCAAAAGAGCTTCCAATTTGTAAAGGGGCATTATAATTATTAAGTTGCGATATAGCGTGATCTCAATGGTACAAGTGGTTTGCGCTTTAGGCCTGTACCCCAGCATTGGGGACATTAATAGGCTGATTATGATAACATTGCGTTCCAAACTTTATGACGGTAGTTAGTTAATTGCGAGCACAGCTATGCGCAGATTTCGGTTCAGTGACATCCCGCGTGCGCCTACATTACTCATCCCACATTTCATTTACTGCGTCGCGACCTTATTAAGATTAAATTACACTCTACCTACAGATCTTTAGGCTAAATTCATATGGTCACGCTTCGTCGCGTGCTCACGCGCGTAAAGAATTTTTAAATCATTATACAAAGGACCGTCCAAATGATCGCGCGTTCACTTTACGCGCCACCATCTGGAGGCCTACTCGCATTCAACGAAAAACGAAATTTCGATCGAAACGTCACACTTTTCTTACTATGTTTCTGGTTCTTTTTTAACTATAATAAATAATATTCGTCGTCGGAATATAGACTGAGGTGTAGATTTTCTGAGCCTACTCAAAGAAAGCTGCAATTTGATAGTTTATCGTTCAAATTAAGTGTAACCTTAAATTGACGAAATTAAATTTCGTTTGAAATTCGTTAGCGAAAGTTAGTTTCGGAGAAGGAGAGACTGCCTGGACTTAGCCTTAATGTGGTACTTGTGTTGTTTCCCACAGTGCTCAGCCTTCAGGAGTTGTGTTGCCGCGCGATAGTGGCACGCACTTCCGTCTACGGGCTGGAACGGTTGCCGTTACCGACGACGCTGAAGTCTCACCTCAAGTCGTACGCGATCAACGCGGCGCCGAGCAGACACCGCGCCCGGCCGACGAAGCATCCGCACCACGCACGCCTCAACTGCACCGGCCGAAACTCCTGCTCCATAGCCTGAACCCGGTATTAACCTCTTTTATACTAAATTTTTTACTGTGTTGATTCACGATTGTTCTTACCCAGGCAACGGCACAACGGCTCCCGCTCCATAGTCTGAACCCGGTGTTATCCAACCTCTTTTATATGATTTTTTTAAAGTGTTGATTCTTAATTGTTCTCAACCAGACCAAGGCAGATCGTCTCCTGCTCCATAGCCTGAACCCGGTATTAACCTCTTTTATACTACATTTTCTACTGTGTTGATTCTCGATTGTTCTTACCCAGATAACGGCACAACGACTCCCGCTCCATAGCCTGAACTCGATATTATCCAACCTCTTTTAAACGACGTTTTTTACTATATTGATTCTCGATTGTTCTCATGCCAGACATAGGCACATCGGCTCCTTCTCCATAGTCTGAACCCGGTATTATCAAAGTTTTTTACTATGTTAATTCTCGATTGTTCATACCAAGACAACAACAAATTGGCACCTGCTCCATAGACTGAACCTGGTATTATCAACCTCTTTTATAATAGGTTTTTACAATGTTCTTTCTCTATTGTTCTCAACCAGGCAAAGGTAGGAAATTGTAGACTTCACTTCTTCATCTTCGGTAAAATTTTTCCTCAAAGCTCTTTCTTTAGTTTTGGAAACAATAATCAAAAGGGGTTAAATCTAGACTTATGGGTAACAATCCGGAGCATAAATTCATTTCTGTCCTCGCTATACAATTACAAAATCTTGACGCACTGTTTCTTTTGTCTATTTGAGCAGGTCGCATCAATTGGCCGCTTCGAATTCATCTTTGAATCGATTTTCTGCCTTATTTAAATAAGCTATACCACTTATAAATTATCGCATGACCAAGGCAAGAGTCCTCATAAACGGATTACATTTCCATAATGATCTGCAGTGCTTTTCCTTGGTTGGTGAGAGAGGCACTTACTCGCGGCAGGAAAATCGATTTTCTTCCCGATTGACTTGTTTATTTAATGATATCTTAAAGGTTCATGACCCGATTGGACTGTAACTTGGAATTTTTAGGCATGTATAATGCATGCATGTATTGAGACGACAAGTACTACTAGGTAATAACCTTTCTCCCACCCATATTCATACCCTCTATAAGTACTACTTTTATTGACTAAGCTATGGTCTTCTCATTTGCTTGAAATTCTCCAGTGTTTTCACTTCTCAATCAGACAACGTTGTTGATTCAGACAGTACTACCGATGTCGAACGGTGAAGAAAAAGAACAGAACAAAGAAGATAAACTTTAAACAAATATCTTTGAAAAGTGGTCCACGATATTTGTATTCGAACTGAATTAATCCTTTTATTTTGCTTGGAGGTCATTGGTTTTTCTGTCTTACTAAGCGATTTGCCCTCGTCCATTGTTCTCTCTGGTTCGGATCTTGTGGAACTCCATCAATGGATAAGTTTTCTTTAATGCAGTAAAGCGGACACAAAAATACATTTTACTTCAAACATTCAACATCCATTTACTACTAAGTTCTTCCGGCATAACAAAAACCCATGAAAAAAATTCATGTTTAAAAATTATACTTATACGTGATATGATAACTAATTCAGCATTTTTGTTATGCAGATGAGATCGATTTGTGCACATTTCACTACAAAAGAAGACGTTTAGACTTCTTAACTGAATAAAAATCTACCGATGACAAGTGCCGCCACAGCCACGCTAAATTCATTCGTGGCACAATTTGCAAGCCCTCTGTACCGTGGCACAATTTACGTTGGGTTTTTTTCGAGCGCTAGGAATGTTTCTGTTCTCTTTGTTCACCGGCGTCGGACTTCGATTGTTCGTTTAGTTGGCAACAACTGCTTATTTATCCATTACCCACAACGTGCAAGTAATTTTTAAAAATTTTGATATTCGAAGGTGAAATTGTGTGATAGAATCACCGAAACACGATACGATTAAGACTATAGTTGATTTATCGACCTCAAACTCTCAAAGTCTACTGTAATTAATCAATAAAGGAATTTATTACAATCATAATACATACTCTTATTATTAGTATATCGTGTTTCAGTGTTAATGCTATGGGGGCCGGTAAAAATCTCACAAATTAGATAATGTATATATAATTTCTACATATAAATAAACTAATTTGATTTGACAGTTTAAGATAACCAGTTGTACCTATTTATTGAGCGAAAAATGGAAGATTACGTAACTGTATGTAATCTAATGAAAGTGAAGTGATTAAAACACTATAATTTACATTGCATGTAGGTACACGTTACTTTGTCACAATTGTATGAAATAATCCTGTGCTAATGTATATTCAAGAATTAATTTGTAATAGCTATACATTTAATCGTTTTAATTTTAAGTAACTATGCATGTTTAATTATTCAATCATAACTGCAAACTATATCTAAATATTGAAATGTTTTTAACCTTCGTACTTTTATACTATATTCTAACTACCACTGGACATTTAAACTGCCAATAAATTATATCAACATGTAATTACTGTTTTCTAGACATAGATATAAGCATTCGTGTCCAAATTGATTTAAAGTCGTTAATTGATCCTATCACTTTCACTGGCTGTAATTGACAACGGATTTGCAACTAATTCATAAAAATATTATTAATAAGTGCTGTAACTTAAGTGTTATTTAATTATAAATATGTGAATATTTTGTAGAGGGCAACTGCATAGGTTATTATGAGGATTTACAAATTGTCTGTATTTTTCGATTGTATAAGCCGATTTATATGAGTATGTACAGATGAATCAGTGATATGTTCTAGAAAAGTTAAACTGATGTGCAATGGCAATGGAATCATTAATGACAAACTTTTCCGAAATTGATTTGATGAAAAAATGTATCTTATACTCGCAGAATATACGCGAAATTCCGTAAATGAAGGTAAAAATAAATTTGAATAAATCTGTATTAACTCTGAACTCATAAACAGTAATTTGTGCCTAGTGATATAGAAAGAGCTAGATGGTGATAAAAACACTGACAGAGAATGTTATGAATTTGTACTGCTTAGCTACTCACGCAACAGTGCAAAGAAGTACATAACTGCAATAACTGTACTTTGGCAGTAAGCACACATACTCAAAATTACAGAGAGATAGATACAATTACACCCTGTTCTTAATACAACAAACATTTCCGACACATTGTACTGTAAATAGATACATAATGTAAAGCAATATTCTAAAGATTATAAATATATTTTTTGCATATTAATTCTGATAATATATAGCTGAAATATAAGGCCATACAAACTAATAACGTAAGATATTTATCATGTTATTTTCCTTTTAAAATGTAACTTTCTAAATTACCATAAGTACAATTAGTTCAAATAGCGATATTTGGATGTCTAGCCTGCGAATTGTGAAAATCAATTATTGTCCATTACCATAAGTTAATTTTGATAGGGTTTCATAGTGGTATGTTGTCTGTAAGATTGTAAATATATGTATCTAATCTTATTCATAACTTTTTGAGTACTTCATACCAAAATTTTGTATAATTTTAGCACTAAATTAAGAAAATCAGTTATTTTGTGAAAATAATGTTTAATGGACGCATATTTTTGGTATTATTCAATAAGTGGTCATTATAACTTGTTTAGTTTACTTATATATATATATTTTAGATTAAAATGGTTGTGTACATTTTAAAGTTATGACAAAATATGCAAAGAACTCGACGCAGTTACTCTGTTGCATTTAACATTTCATAATAAAATAATCTATGATTAACAAGCTCATTGACATTTTTAAATAAAATTAGGTTACGCGGTATTTGAATTGATAATTGACAAAAGGCTTTTCCATATCACATTTGGACTGTTACCTAAGTTGTTTAACCCCTATAATGTAACACAATAAGTAGCATTATGACTAATAAACTCGTTTTAGGAAATACTATGATACTAATAGATTGTCTCAATCCGTCCTTAACGACATTCACCAGTCCTCACACCCAGCTAGCATTCATAACACATTTGGTGTCACAAAATGTTTTCGTAAAACTATTAAGACTTTTTTTATTTTATTTACCGAAATATGTTTAGTATAGGTACTATCTTCATTTGGCTATACTGCAAGCTTCGCGTCTTGGGTACAATGCGTGCGATTCATACTATTTATATGGCAGTTGTGTTGTGTTAGCAACGAGTGCAGGTTTGTAAGGTGAACACCTTGCGTGTATCACAATATAGTGTGGCCTTTCCTTAACCTTAGCCGTACGGATCGTCAATGAATTTCTAATGGCGCGATTAAACTTAAATGAAGGAAATCGAAGACGCCCGCCTGTATACGGGTAGTTTTCGGTTTAGGTACCCGACACTGGCTGCCAGCTCTTATTTCAGTGTAAATATTGCTTCGGGTGCCCGAATTCGAGTAATGTCTCGTGCACCCGAATACGGGCTAACGACCAAGTGTAATTGAGCCATAAGTTTCATTAAATTTATCGCTTCTACTTTCTTAGTTATAATCATAGATTGAGACAACACGTGTCTTTAAATGAAATTGAAAATTGACGTATCTGAGTATGGCCGTTAGTGTCACAATAAAAAAATATGTCAAAAATTTTCTGTAATGAAAAGAGATAATAATTTAATAAATAATTTATCCGTTCTCGCCTCGGGCGCATATCATAAGGTAAAACGACTTGCGCTGTTATAAATGATCAAATAATTTAAATTGTTTAGCAAATGACATAATGAATGATAATTTCAATTTGACTTTAAAGTTGCCGTCATTAATCTGGCAGTGTCCTGTTTTAATGTTGTCATAAGTTTCAACACTGTATATTGTAAATCTGTATACATTTGCAGTTTTATATACAACTTCTGCCATCACCCACTTTTGTTAACATAATATACCTAATTGAATATAAAATGATAATTATATATTTTAAGAAAGTATCTTGTAAAAGAATCTTTCTTTGGCATGTATTGTTTTTTTTTCTGTACATATTGTTTCATTTTGCGAATTATTTTCATGTATTATTTGTGATAGTTGTAGTTTATATGATTATTATTAATTCATTATCCAAATAAACTAATGCAAGCTAAAAGTTTGGGTTAGGTTGGTACAGTCATAATGTTATTACGATATTATAAGTTGTGAAATAAACATAAATTATAAAGTACTTGCTGTAATTTGTTTCAATTTCAACCCTATACAGAAATAGTTTGGACCTGCGTAGCGGTAGATGAAAATCTTTTTGGGGGCGACGCGACTCCGTTACAATTTTAAAAATCAACTTTTGTAATACTACCATAGAGTCTGGTAGTTTCCGGTACCTCAGTTGTTTCTTAATCTTTAACACAAGTGCTCCAGACTTGCTTCGGATATTTAATATTATTATTTAGGCCTATGTCACATCCGCCAGAAATTCAAATAAATCGGAGATTGCGACGATGTTGATCTTTAATTAGACATAATACTGCATTCGTACCTTTTGCCTTATAACACAATAGGTATCTATTTTTAGATAAAAGTCAAGAGATCCGAATAGCATATAAAATTCGATATAAAACGATTTTTGCAGCCATTTAGAAACTGAAGGAAGCATCAGAATCCATATTAAACAATAAAAAAAATTACAACAACACAGTTCAATGTCGCGGCTCGTAGGGAAAACACTATATTTGCTACACATTTTTTTCAATATGCCTATAAATTAAATTATGTATGTTTGTTTGATTCAAATTTTACACACACATGCGCGTAACGCAGGACAAAAATAAATCAATATAAAATATCATGCGCCACAGCCTCCATGTCCATGACAGTACCCAGGAATCACACCAATCTTCGCGAATCTAAACAATGTTCTCCTGTTTTTCTGGCAATGCTCTGTAGTGATAAATTATACAAATGTTCGACAGAAGTAAGCAATGTAATTTATCTCACAAAATGATGATTCGGCTTAACAATTTTTTGTATGTTTTCAATTTACGACAAGGGACAATTCTTATTGCCGTCCATCAAATCGTGAGTAATGTTTTATTTACTCGAGCGATCGCCTTGAGGCATTTTCTGAATATAACATTGTGTTTCAGGCGTTGTCATCTTTTGTTTTGATAATATTGTTAGTCGGCATATCGCATGTGGGAGAAATGCTGTCGATGCTCCATACTGACATGGAGGATGATGCTGAGAGTCGAGGGTTTTACGAAGTGGCTTATGGGCAACAGCTCACATTTCATGAAGGAGACGTCATTAGCACCAACAATCAGCGCAGATTTGCTAAGGCACAACACCTTGCTTCGGGTAAGTAACAAAAATGCTGGAGGCATTGCATGCAAGTAGGAACAATCGTCGTGAAACAAAGTAATATGTTAACAAATTGATCAAAATCTTTCAAGCTTTCCAATAGCTAACTTGACATGGAAGGCATTGAACTTAAGAAATTATAACTATAAAGATGTCCCTCTTGATAGACAATAAGTAGGTATATCATGTTATATAATTGTTACAGTGACCGTGATTTTCCTATACACGAGTACGATCCTCACATCCATATACCTGATGTGCTGCATCTCTCTGCTTCACGGCGCGGTAAAGTACAAACGAGAGTATGTGCTACCTTGGATTATGGCTGCGTGCGTTGGCGTGGTTCTGCTCATTGTAGCCATCGTGGTGGGCGACGGCTATCCCTGTGTGGTCAGCCTCTTCGGAGGCCATAATCTATATCGTAAGCAAACTAATTATTCAACATTAAACTATTTAATAACCATTCGTAAATAGTTGCATTAGCTGAGCTCGAAAGACCAATAAATTTTTGTTATGTAATTTAGTCGTTTTTTGTTTTAATGGAATGGAAATTAATTGTTCCTCTATGCTTAATTCAACACCGATTTGAAAATAATATCTCACTTCATTCCCGCGCACACTTACTGAGTGAGTGTTTAAGTTATATGAAACGTCTAGTATAAGACGTTCGCCTAAATATTCCATAAAATACTTATTGAATAAAATTCGTTATTGTTTGATAACCCATTCCATTACCAATTATTAAGTAGGTAGGTATTTTGCTTTCAAATTCAAAAGAAATGACGTTAACATGAGACATTACAAATATTACAATTGAAAGGTACAGCTTTGTAACATTAAATGGATTGCAATAAAAATGAGCGTGAATTATTAACTTGATTACAGATTTTGGATGTGCGCTCTTCGTTTTAACATTTATCTACGCTATCTGCGCTGTGAGCAGTTTCGCACTGGAGACCGGCAGCGGCAGGTGTGCACGCACATCGCGTGCTACCAGCGATGAAAGAGGCGAACGACTGCTACTCCTAGACCACGCAGCACACTCTAGCTTACTTTCTGCAGCACAACTCAATAAGCTATCTAATGCCACAAGATCGCAATTCGTCTAGGTTTTCTTGCTATCAAGTATATGTTCCTTCGAGGCAGAAGACACGTGATCGCTTGTCAAATTTTAATGTTGCATTAATTTACTCACACACAATAGAATAATGATGTGTGAATAATGCAATCGATATAGTAAATAAATAACAATTTAACTTCACTTTCAATTATTTCAAGCTTCCGTCCGGGAAAAGTGTTTAAGTAACTATGTAGACTTACATTGGTTACATTTGTGCATGTAAAAATAATACAGAAGCCTTATTATATAAAAAAAACTGAAATTAAAACAATTATTCATGGAGGTATTTAGGTATCGTGTATGTATGATTTTTCTTATACTTACTGCATATATTTTATTGTTAGTTAATGTATTTTTTTGGAAAACTATTATGAAAGGAAGTCAGGTTTGATTGGCGTAGTGGATTTTTATTGGAGCTCCCGTCTGGGGAAGTGCCTTCGCATTACAGAAGACCGCCATGGAAATAACACAATTTTGTAGGCAACATACGACCGCAAGTGATACTGTGGTCGCCTAATACCAGGTGGGCCATAATGCTTGATGGTTGCCACAAGAAGGCTAGTAAAATGTTTTATATCCTTACTTTACGATCCCTAGATGCTAAGCTAGATGTACATACTTATATACTACGGTTAATGTAATAATAACACTTATTAATAATTTCAGCTTGATTAATTCCCACAGTAGCTATCACATACAAAATATAAGAAAGTTGTGCAGCTAATTGGAAAAATAAAAACTTAACTCCACATGATAGGTGGTGCTGCAGTTAGGTTTCAGGTATTCTTTTATATTTTTATCAGGTGGACTATAATGAATATTGGGTCGATAATTAATAATAATACTGGTAAAAGAGATAAGACATGCCCTTGTAGCCTTATTTGATAATCATTTCATGAATAATTTACTTTTACCATAACATACACCAAATTGTAAATGTTTTTAATGTATACTGGTAATTTCATCTAAAAATAAACAACCTGGTTTTACTAAAGAAATAATTATGTAATAACCTTTAAGTTGATGTATATATATTTTTTTATTAGGTGCAAAGTAAGCTTATTAGTTATAAAAAGTATTTTAAATTATATTGGTTAATCAATGCACAAAGAATACATAGCTATTCTAAATATTTATTAAAAATGTTAGCCTTATAGACTTTAACACTAATTTATTTACATATTGGTGTCGATTCTAGCGTGATTCTCTAAACTTAAACTTAAATTTGACAGCAGTATATCTTTGTCATTCTCTATACAGAATGAAAAGGAGAGGCTGATGTTAAATTTAGTTTTAAGTTTAGAGAATCACGCTAGAATTGATACCATTGTTTCTTTTAAAATTAATATTTTTAAAAACAATGTTTATAACAGCCAACAACTTTCATTAAAATTATGGTATCTTAAAATACACAACTTTAATAACAAATAGTAGATACTGTAACAATAAAACGTTCTAATGAACAAAACACAATATTTTCCTGTGCAATTTTATTTTCAATGTAAAAAATTGCTGGAAATGCTAAGTTTAAGTACCTGTTATACAACTGTAAGTATTAAAAGCTTGAATATGCATGAATAGAAATAAATATTTTTATAATATTTGAATTTGAATAACAACATAAAATGCAATGATCCTGTCATATTGAACCTGTTTCCTCACACATAACATAATGCATAAATTAAAAGGTACTAATTCACAATGTTTTCAAAATATTAATTCAAACTAACATTTTTAGTACAAGCTTCTTAACCCCAGCGGCCATTTTTAAGAGGTCTTTCTATACCCTTAAAGCCCCTAGCAAGAATAAATTTCTCAGATGAATCAGACCTACTTGCATTTGGTTTCAAAATTTTAATGCTTTTATAAAACCTTTCCAAATCCATTTCTAATATGGGCACTTCTTTTCCATCCCAAACTTTGATTAATAGATTGCCATCAACCTTTGTCACTAATGCAGCAAATCTAATAGCCATATAGCAAAGACCTATAATTCGGTCTTTATCAAGTTCTCTGACACCAGTAGCACTAGGTGCCATATCTGAAAGGACAATATCTACTTTGCTGTCACCTATTAATTGAATAACCTTAGTATGTGCTTCCACAGTAGAAAAGTCCAGGTTACTCATAATTGTAGCTCCCTGTAAACAATTTTTTTTTTGTTACATTGTAATAATGCAGTGTCATTTCTCAAGTTCCTAGTTAAACTATACTTACTTCAATAGGAAATATTTGTAGTTTATCAATAGATAGTACTTTCCCTTTTGGTTTGCTCTCATCTGCTCCATCAGAATTTGTTTTTTGTACAGCAACCTGGGTCCATGATCCGGGGGAAGCACCAAGATCGATAACAGTTAGTCCAGGTTGTAGGATATTGGTCTTGTCATTAATTTCCAGCAATTTAAAAGCACTTCTACATCTGAAAGTAATAATATTAAGACTAACTAGATAATCTGAGAAAAAATTATAAGTAATGTGAAGTAAGAGGTCAAAATATGGGCAATAAAACATAGTTCGTCATGTCCCCACTACTGGGGCACAGGCCTTCTCTATGAATGGAATAGGAAGATTCGGCCGTTACCAACCACGCGGGCCCAATGCGGATTGATAGGTGCTAACTACTGCAAATGCAGCCGCACAAATTAGATATTTACCTGTAATTGTACATTTTGGCCTTTTCGACATAATGGTCTGCTCTTTGACGACTTAGCCATTGTTGTGAACTTTTCCACCTTTTCAAACAATCTACAAGGAGAGCCATTCTAGCAAAATTCATTTTTTTACGTTCCAATAAAGCCCAAGGAAACATTTTTAATAATAACTATGAAACTGAAAAAAACTATGATTCAAAACAATCCAATATAAATTTTTCTTCAGATTCAGCTATCTCTTGCTGTTGCCGGTATTTCTATTTTCTAAACTTTGCTTGCTACCGTATGAAATTATTCTTTGTTTTGTTTAAATATGAATGTTTAAGATAGAATTGTGGGCTGTACCTTAATTTATGTAGGTAAACAAAGACTTTCCGTTTCCTTTTCCGACAAATATTATTGACCTTCTTTTTAAGATTCTTTTTAGAGAAGGCAAAGGAAACAATGCTCATACAGCCTAAACTTTAGTTTTATTAATCTTCTTTTTTTACATTAGAATGTCGGTGTGAGTTATTCTAATGTTTCTTGAAGTGTGTTTGTAAACTTGACAACAGTCTCTCCTTTTCACTCCCTACAAAGTATGAAAAAGACCACCAGCTGTCAAAAAGACAAGCTATGTGAAGTGCCGGCATTATTTGTAATTTTTGTCTGTTTGTATTTTTTTTGTGTGAAAAACTAATCAGCTGCGGCGGCGGATACTTAAATAAATTTATTTAGAATCTCAGTATGCTGTGTTTATTAATTTAATGTTTTAATAATTGTTTAATAACTTATTTGTGGAAAATGTGTAAAAGTATATTTTTATATACTATATTAAATTAAGTTAATATGAGAACAATAATATCGCTTTCCCGCTATAACCTTCAAAACCGTCTATGTTTACAAAAAAAAGCATTTCATATTACACAACGATATAAAAATATCATAATGAAGTATCTAAATGTTGCTGAAAAAAATGATGCGGCAAAAAATATCGCACTACATCTTTCAAGAGGAACGTCTAGACGGGTAGGTATTTTACATACAATATCAAGTATTCTTTTATTACTATTAAAAAATTATTCAAGTATAATGCACTATCTTTTACAGCGTGAAGGCTTATCACAGTACAATAAAATTTATGAATTTGATTCAGAAGTAAATGGACAAAAGTGTCAGATGGTTATGACATCAGTATCGGGACATTTGCTAGCTTTAGAATTTGTGGGAGCTTACAAGAGCTGGAATTCTTGCAACCCTCTTACTCTATTTGATGCACCTGTATTTAAATATTGCCCAGAAAACTATGAAAAAATTAAGGTATGTTGATGTATGGTAGATCGTTCAAAAAATAAGAATTTAGGGCAAGGGAATGCACTGTATAAAATGATAAATTGGTATCTTATTTGCAAACAGAAAACTTTGGAGAGAGAGGTGAAAAGTTGTCAAGGGTTAATAATATGGACTGATTGTGATAGAGAAGGAGAAAACATTGGATTTGAAATAATTCAAGTATGTACTGCAGTGAAAACCAACCTACAGATATTTCGTGCGAAATTTTCTGAAATCACAGCTGTTTCAGTAAGGAGAGCACTTCAAAATTTAGAGCAACCTAACAAAAATATTAGTGATGCTGTGGATGTGAGACAGGAACTGGACCTAAGAATAGGTAAGAAAAATCTATTTAAATCTAAAGAAAAGTTTACTAGAAAAAAAAAACACGTGGACCAGGCAGCGGACGGAAATCGAACCCACACCCTTTGCAATCCGGGCGAATGCACTGACCATTATGCTACCACGGCCTTTTTTCCTTGCATTAAGCTGCAAGGCAGCGCCATCTCTTCGCATTGTAGGTAACCCACAATGTTTAAATCTAAACAAAAATTTACTAGAAAAAAATTTTTGCTGACGAAATTTCGACGCGGCGTATAGGGCCGTGGTAGCATAATGGTCAGTGCATTTGCCCAGATTTGCGAAGGGTGCGGGTGGAAATTCACAATTAAATGTATGAAAAAAAAAACAAACTGCTTTTCAATTGCCATATTACTTATATTTCATATTAGAATGTGTTAAAAATGACAAAGGTTTTGTTTGTTTGAAAAGAGAGATAGAAGGTTTCTGTTTAGGTTGTCTCACTCATTTCCTTTACCATAGATCGTTTTCGCTGGTCCATGTGTTTTTTTATTCTCTGTGGCTTAGCAAGGCTTCTAGACTGATGCCTTTGCCTTTTGGAAGGAATAAAAGGAAAAAATATTTTTTCTATTAGCTTTACACCTGCGTACTATAATAAATGTTTATTTTTGGGTCATAGAGATAATTGTTTTTCAATTGTGCTTTACGCCCAAAATGCATCTGAACATAATAATAAAAATAGACGTAAAGAACATTTTATTGATTTTTTGAGATGTAAGGTACATCTTTTTTCTAAAATAACAAACTTGACTAAAAGCTACTGCAAGATTTTAGGTATATTTTGTCTATAACACTTTAATTTAAAAACACAAAGGTAATGAATTTTAGTATGTAATTTAAGTTAAGCACCAAACACGACTTTACAGGAGTGTAAAGTAAGTGTAGTTTACTTTAATTGAAATTACAAGTATTGATAAGTTGTTCAAATTTGTCATATTGTAGTTTCAATAATTTTATAATTACAAAGAAGGTAATTTAAGATGTCAAAGTTATTTTATTATTGCAATTAACACTTAATTTATAATGTCTTTACACTTTGTTGTGACCACAAAACAAAATAAAGGATATTAGTCACTTTATTCTGTTAATTTAACACAATTTCCTTATTATCTGTCCATTGGTGTCTATAAACAAGTCAATGGTATCAGTCACAAAAACTTCACTCAGCAATATTTTTATTTTGGCTGGGTGTTAAAACTATAAACATCCACTGAGTCTATTTGGTTTACTAGCACACTAATAATAATATTTTAAAAAGAAAATATCAACTTAGAACAAAATTTAAGTATTTAAATTGCTGGAGGAGCTGTTGTTTACTGAGACAGTAGCACAACTACCCTCGCCCTCAAGTAAGCAATGTGGACGGGCATTAAGGCGTAGGAGGCTCTTGGACGTACCTAATTGTCATGTCACCGTTTCTCCCCGAGAACCCGTAGGATTCCCTGTTTAAAAAAATTACGGCATGACCCGATCATGCTTCCACCCGTTTTATATCTTCTAGACTAAATAATACCTGTACTGTTGTTGTACGTCCTGTCATGCATGCATGATCGTTTAGTTGTATTGATAAATGTGAATGAAACGTAAACTACGTGCAATTATGTAGCACAATATTCCACATAAACGCTATATACGGAAATGTATTTTATGCTGCATAGTCTTTATTGTTATTAATTTCATTTTGCTGTCTGCATGTTTTCTTTATCTGTATTAAACTTATATAATTAGGTGCAGCATTCACAAGATTCCAAACACTTCGTCTCCAAAAAGTGTTTCCCAGAAAATTAGCAGAAAGCTTGGTGAGCTATGGTTCGTGTCAGTTTCCAACACTCGGATTTGTGGTTGAGAGGTACAGGGCAGTAGAAAGCTTTGTAGCTGAACAGTTTTGGAAAATCAAAGGTAGGTATTTTTTTATTATTTTATAGAATTACACTCTTCTACTCTTAATTCTCGATGTTGCTTGAAATTATTTTGTCTTTAGTCTTTCATAACGGTATAGGATACTTTATTTTTATTATGTTTCAGTAGTCAAAAATCATATTTACTGTATGTAGTAAGTAGCCATTCTGGAGTCATACTAACGGGAAATGCCATTAATTATCGCTATTATTATTTAAGCTACAGTATGCGCGCGATCTGAGGAATACGCTAGTGCTCAGTAACACAGCTCGAGTAAATACACTGCAGGCGTCCGAGGCGCTGGAGTATGGCCTCTAAGCTCATACCCCGACTGCACTCAGATCGCGCGCATACAGTACCTTAAACGTCCAGGCCAGGATCGCGATTATGAGGATCATTACTAGGTCAGCAAACCAACTTAAAAACAAAAAAAAAGCAACAGTATAATGATCTAATAATCTTTTTAATTAATATATATACTTTTTAAATCATCGAAATCGGTTCATTCGTTGCGATTTTATAGTAGCCAATATTCACCGGCGGCCGAAACGTGTGACGTCACAGAGCTCGATCGTGATTCACTCTGGTCGAATTTCAGTAGCGTCTCTACGCACGCTCGCGACCGAGCACTAGAGCTTTGTGACGTCACAGCCACCACGCGACCAGCCGAAAATTCGTTTAATAATTTGGTCATAATCATAACTTCGTCAGTATTTGTCGTAGAACAAAAATGTATTTTACTATATATGTAATATATTGTATTATCCACTGTATTTTATGGAATCCTCAGCTCCATAAATCTACATTCACAACTAAAATCATTACGGATCCTCATTAATGGCATTTCTGTTAGTGTGACCCTAGCATTACGAAACCCAAAACCTTGTCACTGGGATTGTCGTTCATGAAATTTAATGCTTCAGCACTAGGTCACACAGTTACTAACGCCTTACACCTGATCGTTAATATTTTTTCCGGTCTTACCGCCTTATTCCTTATGATGATCCGTATAACAGAATTAATCGCTCTTTAATTGTATCATAATAATAAAATGACATACTGCTTTGTCTTTTTTGTAACAACTATGTTATTGTGAAGCTTGGCAGTGTTGCCTTGCCTGGTGCTGAGTCAATTAAAGGACGATTAGGCTGATTGCGGCTAAAGAAAAAATAATAGTAATTCGAATAGTACTTGATAGAAGTATAATTGTTTTATGTAGGTACCTAACTTTCGAATATATTCTTTATGTTATAAGGAATAAGGATGGCATCAAGCGTATGGCATGCCTGATGGTTAGTGGCCACCGTAGCCTACAGACGCTTGCGATACAAATATTATCATTGATACCCTTGCCTTCCCTGACCAAATCCCCTACTCTGTGGAGCGTTACTGACCAACAGAAACACAGCACCACCAAAAGCTAGTGTTATTTTACTGTGATCTTCCGTAAGGTGGAGGGAGGCTACTTCTTCTACTTGTACTCTTTTCTTGAATTCTATTTTATCTTAAATCTATTTTAGTTAACCACACAATGGACAATTTAAGTGTAGACTTCACTTGGGATCGTATTAGACTTTTTGACAGAGAAGCTTGTCAAGTTTTACATGATATTTGTACAGAAAATCCCCAAGCTAAGGTTTGTGACGTTAAAACCAAGCCTAAATCCAAATGGAGACCACTACCTTTGGACACAGTGGTAAGTTAATTTAATATCATATATTGTAATTATGTAACATGATTTGCTGCGAGCATAACTTCCGAATGACACAATCAAATTAAATGTATTTTTTTTTGTTGTTTTTGCTATATCAGGATAAAGTTCAGTTAGAAGTTCGTTTTTTTATGAAAATCTACTAGAACACTCTAGATATTTCGAAAATCGGGCGGTGTTTTTGTACTTAAATCTCAATACGTACTTAATTAAAATAAATCTTTAGTTACACGTACAATGCATGGCTTGCGAGTCGCTAGTTATATATATTCTTTCTATCCGTGTTTGTGTAATTGAATTCCTTTAAAACAGCTGGTTGATATCAACAAAATTTCACGTTCGAGTTGGTAACGCCACATAGTATAGATTCACAAATGGCATGAAAGTTAGCACTACAATCGGGTTCAAGGTCTTATTGATATATTTTTCTCAGGCGGCACAATGCCTCTTGGCTCCGCGAGTGCCTAGTAGGTATGTAGATTAAACTAAACCAGAAGCGTCTGTTGCCCATGTAGTTCCCTTGTGCGATCATTACCCTAGCACCCTCTAATAAGCACACGGTTAAAATGTAAGTAAAGGCAGCGAGTGGCGTTCAGCGCCTGTATGCAACGCACTCTCTACACCATAGGTAAAGCCGCCTCTGAACAGTTGTAATAATCAACTACAATAATCAATATTTTCATTTTAGGAATTAGAAAAACTAGCCTCACGAAAATTGAAAATTAATGCAAAGGAAACAATGAAACTTGCGGAGAAACTGTATACACAGGGATTCATCAGCTACCCCCGTACTGAAACGAATGAATTTCCTAAAGAGATGAACCTCACTCAATTGGTGGGGTTACAAACCGGTGATGCTAACTGGGGTGCCTTCGCGCAAAGAATCTTAGATAGTGGTGGGCCTGCACCACGTCAAGGCAATAAAAGTGATAAAGCTCACCCTCCAATACATCCTACTAAATATACTAACAGTAAGGATTTATATTTCATCTATACTGATATTAAAAAGTGGTAAAGTTTGTAAGGTTGTAGGAAATGAAATGAAATGAAAAGTCATTTATTCAGTCTAGGCTGTTACAAGCACTTGTGAAAGTCAAGAAGCTACGCCATCGGTTCGCAAAAATACGGCGGGAGACCTTGTACTGAGAAGAACCGGCAAGAAACTCAGCAAGGGCTGCTTTTTTCTCCCTGTATTGATATATACAGAGTCATCAAGTTGAAAAATGACTTCAGACATACTTCTGAAGTCACCTTCCATTACATTATTTAGGGTATAGATATATAGTTACAACAAATTTTATATTTAGTATATATAGGAAGCGGCATTAGATAGGTACCATACTACTGTTACAAAACTGACTCATACCCATCAAATAAGAAATTACAAGAAACACTATGTCCATGCATTACGATCATTTAGATAATCATTAACTTTATAATAGCCCTTATTCATAAGAGTATTCTTAATCTGAGATTTAAATTTGGTTAGTGGAAGCTCAATCAGATCTTGGGGAACTTTGTTAAACAATGCAATACTACATCCCAGAAATGAACCTCTTGATTTTTGGAGTCTGAAACATGGAACGGCAAGCTTGTTCTTAAATCTCGTGTTAAAGTTATGGGTTTGACTTTTTTTGCAAATGCGTCATAGTTTCTTCTTACATATATTATATTTTCATAGATGTATTGCGATGCCAGTGTTAAAATATTAATTTCTTTAAATTTTTCTCTAAGAGATTCTCTTGCCTTTAAATTATATATGGCGCGAACAGCTCTCTTTTGCAGTACGAAAATACTTTCTATATTAGCAGCTGAGCCCCACAACAAAAGGCCATATGACATAACGCTATGAAAGTAACCAAAGTAAACCATTCTTGCCGTTTCCACATCAGTTAGGAGTCTTATTTTTTTAACAGCGAAGGCCGCAGAGCTCAGTCTACTTGATAAGGCATCAATATGAGGATCCCATTGCAGATGCGAGTCTAAAGTAATACCCAGAAACTTTGTAGAATGCACTAACTCTACAGGCTGGTCATTTATTTTTAAACTAGTATTAACCTGCCTCACATTAGGTAAAGTAAACTTAACACATTTTGTTTTGCTAGAGTTTAGTTTTAAATTATTTACCGTAAACCAGTGAAGGACTTCAGAGAGAGCACAATTTACCTCGTCATAACAATCATTTCCTCTCCTAACTTTAAACACTAAAGAGGTGTCATCAGCAAATAGTACTGTCTCACACAAATCTCTTGTAAAGTGAGGAAGGTCATTAATATAAATAAGGAAAAGCAATGGGCCCAATATTGAACCCTGGGGCACGCCCATAGAAATGGGTGCTCCTATAGACTCAGCTTCATTTATAACTACTTTCTGAATCCTAGCAGAAAGATAAGACTGTATCAGACTTAGTGAAATATTTGATACACCATAATGCTTCATTTTATTTAACAATGTTTCATGGCTAACGCAGTCAAACGCCTTAGATAAATCGCAAAAAATGCCAATAGCCTCGTGCTTACTCTCCCATATATCAAAAATGTGTTTGAGAAGTGCAGTCCCAGCATCAGTAGTACTTTTGCCTCTAGTGAAACCAAACTGTTTTAAACGAAGTAGCTTATTTATAGAAAAGTGTGCTAGTAATTGGTTATAAATTATTTTCTCAAATACTTTACTTAGCGCTGGTAATACAAATATAGGCCTAAAATTGCTGGGATCTGATTTATCACCAGCCTTAAAAAGAGGGATAACTTTAGCACATTTCATTAGATCTGGAAACACTCCCTCATCAATACATTTGTTAAATATAATGGCCAGTTGTGGCGCAATGACAGTGATAATCGGTTTTATTATATATGTTGATATTCCCCATAAATCCTCTGTCTTTTTAATATTAATAGAATCAAATGTTTTTATAATACAATCACTACTGATATGTCTAAAATAAAAATCATTACTGCACTTATCAACACTTGACTCAAGGAGGGTCATTGCTAACCTAGAACAAGAATTAAGATTTCTAGTTGATTCAAACGGTGCACTAGAAAAGAAATTTTCAAAAGTGTTGGCAACGGCATCATCTGTCCGAATAATCTTGTTGTCAATTTTTAAAGAATATGTGCGTTCATTGAATTTATTTCTTCCAGTTTCATTATTAATTATATTCCAAGTTGTCTTTATTTTATTATCTGATAGACTAATTTTTTTTGATAAAAATTTAGCTTTCGCTATGGCACACACCTTTTTAAAAGTTTTTGAATAGTTTTTGACATATTCTATAAACTTAGGATCAGATGAGGTTGCTTTGAGAGCATATAATTGATACAACTTATTTCTACTTTTGTAAATACCAGGTGTGGCCCAATCACTAAATTTCTTTTAGAGCTATGGCATTTAATTAATTTGCGTTTGAATATTTTATTAAATTCATCTTTAATTAAATTGAATAAATCTTCATATAAAATATTATTATTATTACAAACTGGTAAGTCCGACATTTTATGATAGGGGGTAATTAATCTCTGGATCTGCTCAACCGATTTAGAAAATTCTTTTACCAAAAGAAAGCCACGCCATTTATATGTGTCATAGGATATAATTTAATATTAACTCGATAAATGAAAGGTTTAACGCGGACGAAGTCGCGTGCGGCCGTTAGTTTCTAATAAGAGTGCAATTATAAATGTACCGTCTACAATGTCTCATCTTTAGTAATCAAGGTGTCTCTTTTATATATACGAATAGCAGTAGATGAATCCTTCCCTTACCTGATGTTGTGGTAGTGGAGTCCAGTCACGAAGATTCAGCAGCGGCAGAAAAGTGTGCGGCTTCCAAGCACGGAGGAAAAACAAAGAGGAGGTGTGGTGATTAAATTTCCTTAAGAAACGACGCGTGATAATTTGCGGGATGCGGGGTGTTCAGCTCCGCCCACTTCTCAATATTTCATCTATCGGCTAATAGCAAAACTAGCTTAGGTTGATATTTATGTTACTAAGTAGTAGTTCAGCTATCTAACACTAGATGTCAAAAGTTTTGTATATAATGGGACGTACTCAGAACTTGAAGCTTCAAAAAAATGAAATATGTAGGTAAATAAATAAAATAAGCGTTAACAAATTTGACCGATTTTAAAATTTTTAAGGTATAATTTTTATTATTTTAAAATATGTAACTGCTTGATGAAAAAAATCCAGGCAGACCAGGCAGCAGACGGGACTCGAACCCGCACCCGCTTCCGTCTGCTGCCTGGTCCGCGTGGATATTTTTCTAGTTATATTTTCTTTAGATTTAATTTTGAATGGTAGTTTAAAAATAATAGACAAAATGTTATTACAAACATAATTTTATTAAAAAACATCAATTACCTGTAAAAATAATAGTTTTGGTTAGTTGTTGTCGGTTGGTTGCCCTATCGTTTTGTATTGTGGCAAAATGCTTAAAACGAATATCAATATATTTTTCTGCAATCGATTTCATCACAAGTACAACATGATTAACTGTAGGTGATTGGTCAAACATATGGTTGGCCGATTTTTTGAAACAATCTTGTCCAATAAGTGATTTTAATGTATTTGATACAATTTTATGTTTACGAAAGTTAGGAGTATTCAAAGATTGCGATTTAACACAACGAATACTGCCTTCGGTCCGTATACATATTTTTATGACACCTCTAGATGGGAAAGTAAGACCACCCTTATTTTTAGTTTTTATCAAATCAAGGTCACTATCGTCGTAGTTATCAGCATATAATTCTTTGAGACAGCTCTCACATTTGATCTTGGAATGTAAATATTTGACCACATACCCAGAAATATATGCTACTATTTGACGGCGCAAATAGTCACCTATAGTTGTATTTAATTGTTCATCAAATTCCAATAACATATCGTCAGGCATAGGCTCGACATCCGTGCTATCCGAAGACTCGAAACTCATTTTATTTAAAATGCGATAACGATCTGATGTAATATTAAGTTTTTGCACAGAAGATTCATTTAAAATGGAAATATCTTCTTCTTCTATGGTGTCCAATCCGGTCTATTAAGTTTTGAAATCCATTGCTGTTTTAAATTATCGTTGGATGGAAATCTAAAACGAACATAAAAATAATTAAAATTAATTTACTTGGTAAAATAATTTAATACGTATTACGGCCCTGGATATTTGTAACGTTTAAAAAGTTATTCTATATGACGACAGATGGCGGCCAGTTAGTAATATATTGATAAAATTACTGTTTTAGATACTAAAAGTTATTTAGGAATAAGTGTATAACAGTTTTCAGTATTTACGTATGATTATTACAATATACTACTGCAAAATTATACGTAAACTTATGTATTTTCTTCCTAAAAGTGTCGCCATCTGGTGTCAAGTAGTAGAATTTTAACGCTGATAGCTGAGGCTGAGAATGTTCTAGAACTTATATATTTTATTACGTATAAAATTACTTACAAATGAAATGTGATGCCATTCATATTATCAGAACGTCTGTCTGAGTAACTTTGACATAGTAAAACACAAAACTTCATCCTTTTCTTGTTAAAAACGCAAAAAAACATTTATAATGCGAGTCTCGTTAAGTGTGCACCTGACGAACGCTGAAAGCATACTGACTTAGGCCCCGCCCACAATGATGACGTCAGGACCTAGTTGAAAATCACAGTGCACAGTTGCTTAGGCCAGCTCCTCTTTGTTTTTCCTCCGTGCTTCCAAGCGTCCTCTCCTGGCCAGCTTGAACCTAATTCCTACCCCGTGGAGCCCTGGAATATATTTCGTTTCTAACAGAAACAATACCTCCAATATACCAGGGTTATTTCACTGTGAGGTGGAGAGCGCTCCAATAGGCAACTGCGCGATTACAGCAAGCCGAACGTTACCATGCCAATGGCTAGGCATCACTTGGTGGACAAATATCCACGGCTTTCAATCAGTTTGTAGAAGAGATGCAAGCTGATGGAGAGATATAAGTGGGTGGACGGCGAGACGTTAGCGGTGGAATGATTGACGTAAACGTGTGAACCGTGGAGTATGGAATACAGTTAGGAATTTTATTCAAGTAATAGCTACTGGCATTAGTTTCAAATCTTATATCCTATGCACATACCTTTATGCTTGCCAATTTAAAATGGAAGTCTCAAGTTTATTTTCCTTTCTCCAGGTTTGACGGGTAATGAACAAAGATTATACGAATTCATAGTACGCTCATTCCTTGCGTGCTGTTCCCAGGATGCCAAAGGCCAAGAAACAACAGTTGTTATCGAAATCGCCAGTGAAAAGTTTTCAGCCAATGGCCTCATGATTACAGAGAGGAATTATCTCGAAGTATATCCCTACGACAAATGGTCGTCTAAGGAGATTCATGTCTATCAAGTTGGTAATACCATAGATATTACAGAAATTAATATTATAGTAGCGCTAGGTATATTTAAACCTTACTGTAACCTGAAATTCTGTAAAATCATTATATACACTGTGAATTTTGAGTTATCTAAGAAACTTTACTAGCTTATTCAGACAGCGATTTATGTTATACTTGCGCAAAAAAATAAATTCTGCAGTTAATTTTTTTCACCACCTTAAACTCACTATTTTTGTAATTATGAAACCTTAACAATTATCATTGTTTTGAATTGATTCAAATAACAAATTTAAACGGGCAATAATTCCATAATAGGTATGATTTATTTGCACCATTTTAGGATATTTTGTAAACAACATAAATTAATATCTTGTATGGGGGTGTAAGTTTACTGTTTATAACTGTTCGCACTATTTTTATTTACATGATTTTTAAGTTTTTCAGATAATTCAAAATTCATGGTGTATAATCCGTTTTTAAAAAGAGAGAATACTGTATAAAAATATAGAGTTATTATTATAATTAAAAAGATTTTACACACAGCTTCATTGTTCATCGCTTACCAATCGCTCGTATTACAGGCTGGTCAAACATTCAGTCCAACAAGCATAGATATGCTGGATGGCAGCACAAGTCCACCGAATCTCTTAACTGAAGCTGATCTTATCGCTTTGATGGAGAAACATGGCATTGGTAAGCATTCTTCTTTTTAATTAATACATAATTTAATTACCTGATTGATCTAAATACTACGACTTATACTTCTGCATCCACGAGATATATTTTTGACAGGCCGACTGTGGATGATTATAGGACACTAAGGCTGTCTGTCCTCTGGAGCGGAGCAATGCTGCGGAGCGGAGAAACAGAGGAATATTAACCGTTAGGATTGTACAAAATCTGCACTCTTCAGTAGACAGATTTTGTGTAATCCTTTTAGTTAACATATCTCCGTTTCTACGCTCCGTAGCCTCGTTCCGCTCCAGAGGACAGTCAGATTTAATGTCCAATAATCGTCCCCAGTCGGCGTGTCAAAAATATATCTAATGGATGCAGAAGTATAAGATGTTGTATTAAGATCAATCAGGTAATTTAATACATGCTATTTTCAGGAACTGACGCTACGCACGCGGAACACATAGAGACAATAAAGAACCGTTGCTATGTCGCTTTAGCAGATGCTATTCACTTTGTTCCCGGACTTCTGGGTATGGGACTCGTAGAGGGATACGACGCAATGGGCTTGAATATATCCAAACCGCACCTCAGAGCGCAATTGGAAGCAGACTTGAAAGCCATAAGCGAAGGAAGAAAGAATCCACAGCAAGTGTTAGCCGAACAGGTAAAATTATGCAATTTAATGAATGTGTTTAGGGAAATTTTTGCCGCCATGGGCCTATTTCATAAAAGAGTATACTGCAGTTTTTACTACAGTAAATTACGCAACTAGTGTAGTAGAATTATTAAGAAAGTGTGATGTTTTTAACATTTTTGATATGTAACATCTTTCCTCTCGCTTTCACAAATTGCAGGGCATTCCCACATTGCAAATGGGACGGAAGTATGTAACAGAAAGTCGCGAAAGCGCACGCTATTTGATTTGATTTTAGAACAATGTTCAAATGGCGTATTTCTTTTGTAGTAGGTTTTATTTCTTTTTTTAATTAATATAAGGTGAGGTTTTAAATGTTACACATCAGACGCGACTACTGTAAGGCTCGCTCGTTTTTATTTTTAGTTACTGCAGTAAGATAAAAAAATAACACTTTTATGAAATGGGGCCCAGTTGGCGCTACTGTGGCGTGAGGTCTTTGACGATGAAAGTTTTGGCGCGTACTAATCGAACGAGAGCTTAAATTGATCCATAAACTATGAACATATTATACGTGATTTGACGGATGAGTACAACTTTCGTCTTAGTGCCAGGTGGCACTTGGTGCCCGTCCTTCCAGAAAACCCTCATTCCAAACCAACTTTCATAAAATATATAAAAAACACTCGCATGCATTTAGGTCTGCTCATTTCACAACTACATTGTATCCACTTCTTGCTCATGGTTTTTTAACTTTTAAGGTGGCAAAATACAAAGACGTTTACATTACAGTTACTGCAGAAGCAAATAAAATCGACAACGCACTTGCCGAAAGGTTTAGCGAAAGACCAAACGAATACAATCCAAGTAGTGAAATACTGCCTATTGAAATGCCTTCAGGTAAGAATAATGAAAAAACAACACTTAGAAAGAGGATGTGAATTTATTTATATATGTATAACAGTATTAACAGTATATCGTTGATTACATTGAAAGTTGACCTAACTTCTGTGATTATAATAAGGTACATAAATAATGTCTTCGTATACATATTTTATTAAAAAGAAATCCTGTTACAGCACTAAAATGTCCAAAATGTGGCTCTGATATGGTAGTGAGGCAGAAGAAGAATGCCGACGAATATTACATTGGCTGTCTGTCTTACCCTAATTGCAAAAATGCAGTTTGGCTTCCATCTATAGTGAAAACGCTGACTGTTTTATCTGAAACTTGTTCAGAGGTGAGTTGTAGAAAGCTTTCAGTTTTGAATCAGAGAGCGAATAATCTAACTTTCCAATACAATGGTGTCGATTCTGACATGATTCTCTAAACCTAAAATTGACAACAATGTATCCTTGGCGTTCTCCATACAGAATGAAAACGAGAAACTGATGTTAAATTTAGTTTTAAGTTTAGAGAATCATGCAAAATATATGTTCATGGTTTTCACGCGCAGGGCCGGAGAAGCAACAGAGAAAAAATAACCAAATTTGGACCGATTGCCAAATTTACCGTCTTTTTTTTCCAAATAACCTTTTTCTCATTTTGACAAATATTAACATTTGCATAAGTAGTGCTTTTTATTCTAAATTCGGGCCTGCGCGTAAGGTTATTATTGTTAGTTCTGCATCATATTGACTAAGTGCTTTGAAATAATTAGGTATATAATCTTATTTCAGTGTGGCCCTAACTATAAAAAAATAAAATTTGAGTGGAGAAACAATTCGATCAGTCATTTGTACCCTCCTCCTTATATTGCCTGTATAGGGGGATGCGACACCACTTTGCTAGAATATTTAAAAATTAACCTGGGCAGTGTGAGACTTTTATCTGAAAACACAAGACCTCGTACCACCAATCCAACTAGAACAAATAGCATGGCTGATACAATAACCAGTAATAATGTAAGAGAAACGAATACTAGAAATGTTATGCCTGTAGTACAAAATCAAAGAAGGCCGAATAACAACCAGAGACAATTTGTGCCGCCGCCCCCAGGGAACACTTTTCAGAATTCCACAAACAACACAAGAATGCCAATACCAAGACAGAATAGTCTTCCTGACGACAATAATGTTATGTGCGGGTGCAATCAACCAGCAATATTACTTACTGTTAGGAAACAAAATGCTAATTTTGGTAAGTAACTTTCGGTCACACGAAACATTACCCTTAGTACGAGTTTTACAATTACGGAAACTATGATAGTTTTCGTGAGCTCGCACTCGTACTAAGGGTACTGATTTTTGTAATAGAAAAAATACAAAAGCAATTGTGGCAAATGTAATAGTTAAAAATAATAAATTTTTGAAATGGACAGGCCGAAATCAATTAAAAAAGAATATTCGGGCGCCTGGACTGTACCATTATTATTAGCCGGGAGAGCAATGAACCATTAATCGCGAGGGGAGCTTAACGCAAATCCATACTCATTTTGGGTTGTCAATTTTATTTAAATTTAGTACAACATTACTGGTCCGAAAGAATTACTGCTAAATTTTGAAACTAAGACTAAGATGTAAGTGAAAATGTTACCTTTAATATGGGGGCCGAAACACAATTATAAATTTAGGAAATTACCTACCTTGTTGCATCTTTGGAGTTAAATATGTCTGGTGTTGCAAGTATGTAGGGGATGGCCGTTTTTAGATCCCGTGGGTTCACCTCCACCTCATGGGAAACGTCGTAATTTGAATAAAATATCCAAATAAAAAATCCAAATAAAAAAAATCCACGTAAAAAACGCTTTTCGCTGAAAACAAACATTCCTCAGATTAGCACATGGCTCACAACAAAGGAAAAAATCTAAGGAAAACTCTAAGGTTCTTACCGTTTTACAAACAAATCAAGCTTGGAATGCGATCATCCGCCATTCCGCGCAAAAGGTGCAAAATGTTACATCTGTAAACAAAATCAATCCTCATGTAAACCATTGAAATATATGAATTAAAACACTTTTCGAATTTGGAAAAACACCATTAAAAAATAATAAGATTAGTATGAATTACCTTGTAATTCATTAAGATTAGCAGCGAGACATTTCGCTCTCTCTAAAATTGCGACGTGAAGTAAAGTGACAGTTTTTTTCTTAAGTTCATTTTCTCTTGCCGGTAGGCAAAGAGAACAAGGTCCATTCAGCCTACTGCTTGATAAAGTTAGCAACATAATTATTCAAAAGTGCACAGATTACAGAAAATTGGCGCGAGATAAAAACGACCAGAGAGAACCAAAAAAAATCTTCTATCTCGCTCTTCGAGCGAAGGAGATCCATGTGACGTTTTTAACACGTTACATTTTATTGTTTTCGTTTCAATACAAATAAACAGTGTTTAAATTCTATCATTAAATCATTTGTGTCTTCTAAAATTTTAAGCACATTTGGTTACTTTTCACCAAAATGGACAGAGAACCATAATTTACAATTACGAAAACTATGATAGTTTATACCTTAAAATTCAATCAATCGAGTTTCATACCAATACACTTGCTGTAATACAAAAATACATACATTTATAATTATTATCTTTTATTTTAGGGAAAAAATTCTATAAATGCTCCAACGCTAGAGAAACAGGTGGTTGCGATTTCTTCTTGTGGGCGCCTGAAACATCCGAAGGGAATTTCGAAACCCCACCACCTTCCAATGGTTCATGGGGTAATGAGACAGTACAAGGTACCAGTAGTAACGATACTACTAGGGGATGGGGTATAACTCCCAGTTTTTCTAGAGAGGAGTACCCCACAAACGAGGAAAACGTTACGTGCAACTGTGGCTTGCCAGGGAAAAAGTAAGATTTAAAATCTATTATTATCTATACATATAATAAAATGGTAGGAAAGTCAAAACTGTACATTAAATATTTTTTTTAAATAATACTTGGGGTGTGATCTGCAATCGATACCGAAGCCAAAAATATAGTTTTTAGAATTTTTGTCTGTATGTATGTCCGGGATAAACTCAAAAAGTACTGCATGGATTTACTTCAAATTTGGCACGAATATTATTAAGAAGTCGGGTCAACATATAGGCTACATATTATCACGCTATCACCTACGGGGAACGAGCAGTGAACCTTTATTTATAACTAACTCCACGCGTACGAAGTCGCGGGCGGCCGCTAGTAGTAATATAATTTAGCTATGTTGGGTAATTTTTTCGTAATTTACGTTATTCTTGGCATCGTTTTTATTAAAGGGTGTAAAATATTACATACGCTACCTGATATTAAGTGTAAATGGAGTAGTCGCGAAGATGCCAGACAAATGTACCACTTCCGTTATCCTCACCTTGCTGGCTTGAACCCAATCCTCTACCGTGTGGAACCCTGGATACTTACCAATTTTAACGTAATACCAACTAACAAAGGTGGATAATTCAATTCTAACTGAAAATCGGTTATGTCCTACCACTTTTATTGCCGGCATTTCACTTGGCTAATCGTTTTTTTTTTAATATTTCCAACACAACAATTAGCCTGGCCCCAAAGTAAGCACTGTAAGGCTTGTGTAATGGAATACTAGGGTAACAGATAGAATACATATACTGTACGTATATAAGTATATTTATATAGAAATGAATATTAAACATCCATGACTGGAGTACAAATGCTTGTATTCATTACAATAATATCTGCCCCGATCGGGATTCGAACCAGGCGACTCGGCGACACCATGAAACCCGGCGTATAAACCACTCGGCCACGGAGGTCGTCAAATCTATTTTGTCGTTTTTTATTTGTAAACTTGCCATCAGTCTATCCTTATCAAGGAATAAAAAGGACAGACTGGTGTCATGTTTACATATAGCAAACACGAATAGCCAAGCGAAGTGTCGGCATAAACACGACTACTTTTATTAGTGTTTAAAAATGTAATCAAACGATTTGTGAGTAGAGTGAGATAATCCGGTTACTGTTCAAGAAGCCTTGTTTAATATGATCTCGATTCTGTTTTTTAAATAAACAAACAACAACGTTTTTCTTTGTAAGGTTAACGGTTCAGAAAGAAGGTGCAAATAAAGGACGGCAGTTTTACGGATGTCCAAAAGAAATGAGCTCTCGATGCAATTTCTTCCAATGGGGCGATGATGGTGGCAGTAGCGGTGGCTCAGGTACGTTAATAGAGGACAAGCTCAATTCTTCAGTAAATTATCTTATGAGATGTTTTTAGTAGGCCCACGTTTCCATTGACTTACTTTGGTCTCCATGGAATTCTTAGCCTGTACACTTGTTCCCAAGATTCTTGTCATCAATGTCATTTGCTGCTCTAACTGGGAATCTTTAACTATTACATAACGGTAGTATAACTGTTAGTGCATTCGCCGGGATAGCGAATGATGGATGGTTTGATTCCAGCTCGGTAATCCGGGCAGAAACTATGGCACAGGTGTTTGCGCGTTCAGTCTATGATCCTCGAAGTTAATCAACTTTCGTAGTGCCCGGTCATTGAATGGGTGACTGAAACTTATTATTTCGAGCTCCCCCGTGCTTCAGAATGCACGTTAAGGCGCGGTTCTGGCAGTATCTACAGTCCTTAGCAATCACCATATGCGACCTTTAGGGTCCCAGCAGTGGGGACATTAATAGGCAGATAACGATGATCATCTGGCCAGAGTTTATTTAAATTAACTATCAAACTATGGAATATATATTAATAAATAAGTATCATGATTTAGAAGATATAGGTTATGCAACGAATTAGAAATGGTATGGAAGCCCTTAAACCCTTTAACAAATATGGTGTCAAACTCATACAACTAAACCTCAATACTAACGCAATACGCACACAGACAAAACAAAATAATGTGACAAATCAAATATCTGCAAATGAATTCGGCTATACATTCATTGGTTAAGATAATGTTAAACGGAAATCCCAACCTATCTCATGATCGGCGTGTTGATCGCATTTTTTCGCAGTTTGCGTTGAACCACTAGAACTCACTTAGTACCTTGGAACTGTAATTCGATTTTTTCATAAAGTATAAAACTTACATATATTAAAGCTATATCTACAGAAAGTGTGTTCCATAATTATTAATATGAGTAAAGATTTATTCTAAAGTACTCTCAACTTTGTAGTCGAGCAAGAACAGCAATGCTAACAATTTGCTATTTTTTTAATAAAGTCGCGACGGCCTTTTTTTTTTATGAAATGAAGATAGTCTCATACTTCTTATCATTTCCTTATAATTTTTCTCCATACATTTATCAGACGTCAGTATTTTTGCTTCGTACGTTACTTCCGAATACCACAATTGGAAAATGATTCTTCCTTGAATTTTTATTAATTGATTAATCTCAATAAATTCTAGTTGATTTTAATCACCACGAAACGCACTTTCTGTAATTATTATTTTGATAATTGTAAGTTTTATACTTTTTGAGAAAATCAAATCAGAGTTCCGTGGTAGCAAGTGGCCCAGTTTATTTGCAGTCGAGTGTATATTATAATCCATTGTTGTCAAACAGAGTGGGGTGTCGGCGGTGCATCGCGGCCGCGGGGTAGAGGTCGCGGGCGCGGGCGAGGGGGCGGTCGTGGCGAAGGGGGGGAAGGGGGGACGCGCGCGCGACGCTGCGGCATCTGTCGCGAGGAGGGGCACGTGCGGAGTAACTGTCCTACCAACCGGTAGCCGGTCCAACGTACAATAATGACTGCGGGGTGAGGGGGGGACTAGTCAGCGCGCGCGTCCCTCCGGCTTCTGTCGCCAGGAGGGTAACGTGCGGAGTAACTGTACTACCAACCAGTAGCCGGTCCAACGTACGATGACGTCACGGTGCGGGGCGAGGGGGACTGAGCAGCTCGCGCGACGATGCGACATTTGTAGGAGCACGTGCGTAGTAACTGTCCTACCAACCAGTAGCCGGTCCAACGTACAATGATGACGTCACGGTGCGGGGCGAGGGGAGACTGAGCAGCTCGCGCGACCATGCGACATTTGTAGGAGCACGTGCGTAGTAACTGTCCTACCAACCAGTAGCCGGTCCAACGTACAATGATGACGTCACGGTGCGGGGCGAGGGGAGACTGAGCAGCTCGCGCGACCATGCGACATTTGTAGGAGCACTTGCGAAGTTACTGTCCTACCAACCAGTAGCCGGTCCAACGTACAATGATGACGTCACGGTGTGGGGTGAGGAAGAAGAATAGATCCACTTTCAGATCCAACGTGTACAATAACCACGCGCTGATGCGCTTTTATCCGAATTATCAGATAATTATTACCATGATTTGGAGGTAGTTTGCGTGGAACGCATGTAAACCTCGTGAGTATATACGATAGAGTGGCCTTCTTAGGATGTTGGTTTTTTAGATATTCAATTCTTTTCAGTCAGTAAATTCATCTATTTTGGTTATGCTCCACGCTCTCCGCCGCCCTGATGGCGCCCGGTCCCTTCCCGCTTCAGACCTCATACCGCAGAGACCTTTAAATCGTCTACTGCCCAAGTCAAACCACTTGGGATTTTCAAGTCTCATCTTTCGCTAGCCGTTCTTTGTCATCTCTTATATGTTTTGAATTGTACAAATACAAATAATTAACAATTAATTCTATCTATGAAAATGCGGGAAGTACTGAATATTGTACTCACATAAGTTTAACGTTTACTCAAATAATTGTTGTGTAAATAGGATGTGCCTTATTTTATAATATGTATTCCACTTTATTATAATAGGTTGCTATTATTAAAATTTATTTTTATAATAAGTTGAAAAATAAACTGTTTGTAATGAAAATGTTTTTATTTTGGAAATAAAAAGGGCATTTAGGTGTGCCGTACATTTATTTAGTACATGTAGACTGGAAGCGAGCGTTAGAAAACCATAAATAAGCCAGCTTCTACTTTAGCTGTCACGGAAAGTAACGTACGGTCAACGAGAAGCTATACAAAATGTAAACAAAGTCAAAACAGTTTTGTCATTCCTGGGTTGGCAACATTTTTAAAATTATTTTTTATTATGAAAATTTACATAGGACTTTTATCATTTTAACATGCATATTGGGACCAATTCTGGCGATACATTCTCTAAACCTAAACTTAAAATTAGAGAGCTAATTTTAGTTTAGAAAACTTAACATAAGTTTGTTATTTTACTGTATGAGATATTATGAATCGTTCTAAAGAGTCAATACTTGCCTACTCTGTGGTACTTAGGGTTTCTAGATTGGGAGTGTTTATCCGTATTTTGGTGAAAAATATGAACTTGGAGAAATTAAATCTGCGGGGAGAACTTCAGGAATCATATTTTTCTTAGAGCATGCCATGGGAAAGCCGCCACTTTTAAAATTAAATTTAAATATAGTTACCGACAAGATTTTGGTAGCTACCTAACAAATCTATTAAGGATGATCAGTGACGATAGACCGTGTCGAGTCCGAGCCGAGCTTCAGCTGTAACACGGTCACCGAGCCGGTCCCGTACCTGTAATTTACAAAGACTTGCCTCGACCGAGCAATTAAGTAGGTACCGTTGCGCTGTGATGCAGTCTTATCATTTAGATAAAGTAAACAAGGTTAGTGTACTCGTCCGAGGAAAACGTTTCTGTTTTGTCTGAGGTATCACTACGATTGCCCGGCGGCACCGCGCCAGCGCGCTGTATTCATGCAACGGGCCGTGACCGAGCCGAAGCGGGACCAAGTTTTTTCCGAGCGTTGTTTCATTTGGTGCTCGGTTGTCAGTGGGTTAGCACACGGAATAGCGTGAATGTATCCATAATCCATAAAAAATATATTATATAATATAAGTTAACTAGAGGAGCTGGATGGCGCAAGTTGAAGTTAAGCAACTTTTACAGTTGTCGGTCATTGGATGGGTAACTAAAAATCTTCTATCCGGAGTTTCTCCGTGCTTCTGAAGGCACGTTATGTCGTTGGTCCCGGCTGCATCTGCAGTCGTTAGCACCCGTCAATCTGCACTGAACCCGCATTTTGGGTCATGGGCCAATCTCCCTATTCCATTCATAGGGAAGGCCTGTGCCCCAGCAATGGAGACATTAATAGGCTGTGATGATGATGATGATTAGTTAACTCTGCTACGGCCAACACGGTCTAATGTAGGTAAATCATCCTTGAAAATTTCCTAGGTACCTAGGGTTATAGATTTCGGTTTCGGTCAGAGGTTGTAATTATCCTCTCGGCTGTTTTGTGAAGATTTTGTACTCATTTATTTTATAATCCGAGATGCGTAACCTATTTTTATCTTTTTTATTTCTATCAGTTTTTGGCGATATCGTCCCAAATCCCAATAGGGAAGATGCAATATTTTTGTTTTCATTTTAAAGAATTCCATGTAGAATAAACCACAGATATATTAAAAAATTAAAACATTGTGATTTATCAGAAAAAATGCGGTTTTAAATTAACAATTTAAATTTTCGCGCGAAAACGAACCTATGGTTGCGATGACGTCACTCCTGTCTGTCACTCGTCGTAATTGTTCGTTGCTGGCTTTAAATTTTCATACTTTTGCATATTTTTTCGACTTTCGAAATATTTTTTTGAAAAATTTAAAATGGACTATCCATCAACATCATGTGATCATAACAATACCACTAATATTCCGAAAAAAAGCCGTGTTGACTCATGTTTTGTGCCAATCTACTTCAACAAAGTTCCCAAATAAATTGTTTTTGACTGGAACTTCTGACCCAAAACTGAAAAAAAAGTGGTTTCAAGCTACGAAGAGAAATGACAATTATTCTCCAGAGACCATTATTCGCTGTCGAAAATTAGATAAAGTTTAAAATGTGTGGCACAATCTTCACATTGGCAGGACTGAACCAAGCTTTACGTTTCATTTAAAATAACTGTAACACGATAACCATCTTTACGTACTTTATGCTCCGGAGAACTCGACCTTTTACTGTACATAATTTTCCATCTCTTTTAATTTGGACATAGCCGATTGCATTATCGCCGTAAGATTTGTAGAAGCCGCTGAATAAAATACGAAGTTTAACATTTACGATTTTTACATACCGTAGTAAATTAGTCCCTTTCATTTCTACACTTAAAAACTCTGCACTTTGGACAAAAAAAGTTATAACCATGTCAACGCTAACTCTTGGTAAATTCTGGAGTCTGCTTTGATAAACGTAACTTTCATTTTTATTAAATGTAAGAAAACGCAATAAATATTCCCATAAAATAATATTTACTTTAACAACCATAACCTCAAAGAAGTTGCCATAACAAGAGTGACGTCACTAAATGCTGATTGGTGTTTTAAAATACGTTCCGTTTCAAGTATTTTTAATTCGTAATAATTGTTAAAAACCAACATTATGTAAAATAAAAACGTTGTAGTGGCATTTCTTTTATATTTTTTTAACATTTCAATCATAAAATTTTCATAAATATTATATATGCATCTTCCCTATTATTCATTTGGTGAATGCCAAGTATTTTCGGATATATACAAGCAAACTTCTCAATTACAAACCGTAGGAACTTATTTCGTTATAATTAGCTTATAAAAAGTGGGAAATAAAAACATTTCTAACAAATATTAAAAATTGCTTCATAAAAACTAAACCACTAAAAACAAAGGAACAAATAATACATTAAAGTCTAAAGTACCTACATTAAAGTCAAAATAACATTTGGATTGGACTTGGTGATTAAAATGCACACCATACCTATTATTTGTTAATTATTTGACTATGTACTTTAGATATAAGTAGGGACTGTAGGTATTACAAGGAATTAGCACATAATTTATGTCTTACGTTTTTAGCTTGTTCATGTTTTGTTATGTTGTGGATTTTTATTTAAGTTAAAAAAAGATTTTACCTTAAATTATTTAGTATTTTATACAGGATATACGTATACATTACCTACGAAGGACCACAATAGCGCAAGTGTAACGCGTTCGTTCTGCGATCGTGAACGTTAGCAACTTTCACAATGGCCGATCTTAGGATGGGTGACCAACCAAACATGTATTAAATCGAGTTTCTATGTTGTTGCTCGCTGCATCTGCAGTCATTAGCCCCCACTAAGCCGCATTAGGCCTGCGTGGTGGCTCATGACACATTAATAGGCTCATAATAAATCCGCATAGTAACATAGACTTAAATACCTTTTAAAAAAAATAAAAGATCTAGCTAATAAATTATTATCACCGTCGTAGTTCATTATTGTATAAAATTTATGGCTTTTTTTAACGAAATACTTGTATCCAACCTTAACAACAAGTTCAAAACTTAAGTACATCAATCATTTACCTTCTATTTGGCCCGATTATTCACATTTAAATTTAGAGAGGACCTCCGTAGGTCCTTCGTAAATTTAGTGTGACATTTCTAATTTTAGAGAAAATATGACATTTAGAACACGTTTCAGAATACCATTTAATCATCTAAATCTAAGTTGAATAACTTAGTGACGTCAATTTTAAATTTAGAGATAGTGTATCATTACAGAATACCAAATTGGATTTGACAACTCTATATCTAATTTTAGTTAGTTTTAGATATAAGTTGGCACGCCAGAATTGGGCCCATTATTTAAATAAAATTTAGAAAACTGTTTCGGAAAGACTGAACGAAATGAAAATTTCATAATTTGAATTTACTATGAAATCGCCGCCCAAATGTTGTCGCTTTGCTGATTACGTGATATGACCAAATGAGACCTAATGTCATTTAAATGAAATGAAAGAGATAGTTATTAAACTGTCAATTCCAGTCTTGTCTAAGGTGAATGAACTTTTGTATCGCTTCTCATTGGCCGTACTTTAGTAACTAAACAGATAACAGGTGAAATTCTATCCTCAAACAGGGCAGTCCCTGTCCGAGGATAGACTTTTACTATACGTCCTGGTACTTTCAATCGGCCGATTCGAAAAAACAAAATATATATATTTCTGCTTTCTAAAACAGTTTCCAAAAAATATTAATAATTCTTGCATCGAAACTCGGCGATTAATCAAACAATCTTATTATATTTTTATTTTGAGCATCAATCAAAATCTTAATATAGGTATATAAATTACGCGTCACGTTGTTTGTCCCGGATGGGCTCCTTAACTACTTAACCGATTTCAATCAGTACACCGTGTGCAGTTTGATCCAACTTGAAAGAAAGGACATCTCAATTTATAGTCGCAATATTATTTTATTGCAAATTATTACTTTTAGGAGGTGCAAAGTTCGCTAAATCAGCTAGTATCTTATAAAATGGGAGGCATACAAGTCAGGGCCAGACTAATGGTAAGTTACCGCCATAGGGTGCGGCCAGAGTGCACTCAGATTCAGATTCCGAAAACAAGCGCGAGAAATAAACAGTGTAGTCGAAGGGTGCGGCCAGAGTGCACTCAGATTCAGATTCAGATTTCGAAAACAAGCGCGAGAAATAAACAGTGTTGTCGAAGGGTACGGCCAGATTGCACTCCTGATTCAGATTCAGACTCAGAAAACAAAGCGCGAGAAAAAGCAGGCAACCTGCTTAGACTACACTGTTTATTTCTCGCGCTTGTTTTCAGAATCTGAATCTGAATCTGAGTGCACTCTGGCCGCACCCGAAGGGTATGGCCAGAGTGCACTCCTGATTCAGATTCAGACTCAGAAAACAAAGCGCGAGAAAAAGCAGGCAACCTGCTTAGACTACACTGTTTATTTCTCGCGCTTGTTTTCAGAATCTGAATCTGAATCTGAGTGCACTCTGGCCGCACCCATAGGCTATAGACGCTTACGCTACTATAATATCATTTCACTTGCGCTGTTGCGTACTCTGACCCCATCACCTGCCCCGTGGAGCCTTGCTTTTAATAATATACCTTAGTTCACTTAGTCTTGGGGAGTAATTTTCAGTAATTATTGCATTATGTTTATTAATTGAATAGGCTATTTGACAAGTTTTTGAAAACGTTTTTAAGTTTAGTTGTCGGTTACGTGGCGTGACAATAGATCAAAAATAAAGGAAAAGTTTTTTGTGGGTGATAATAATAAAAAACCAAAGAGTCGTTTATTCTGACATTCCCACAGATATTTATATTTTATATTTATTTTATTATATTTATGTGAAAAAAGTGTAAATAGAAAAGTTGTAAGTTGATCTTTTGCCATTGTAATTTTTTCGATAGATGTTGTTGTTAAGTTAGTTTTTCCGAGAATCTATTATTATATTACTATTACTATCCAGACCCCTCCTTACCAGTGGGCACTTTGGGCAAGTGCCCAAGACCCCGCGATCAATAAGCCTCTCAGATCAAATAGAAAGTCCCTAGTTCCTGTCAGATCACCAAATGATAACCAATATTTATTACCAAAAAACTTATATAATTCGAAGAAATCGAAGCTAAATTCCTTACTACAATACCCACTTACTAGCTTTTACATGCACGAAGCTATTCTACTCTCGCCCAAAAATTAGGCTTTCCGACTTCAGCATTAATTATGTAATGGGTGTAGATACTCGCAAGATTATCTAAACTTAAAAATAAAATTAACATCAGTCTCTCCTTTTCATTCTCTATAGGGAATGACAAGAATACACTGTTGGCAAATTTAAGTTAAGCTTAAGAGAATCATGCTAGAATCAAAACCAATGGTATACTAAGCACATATACATTTAAAAAAATCATCAATAGTACACTCATCAGTGTGACTCGCTCCATTTCCTAATCCGTCATAAGCCACATCAAAGTCCTAGGGGGGTCCATTATTCTAATATGCCCAGGTCCTCTAATAGGTTAAAGGCGGCCCTGTTACTACCTAGTTTACTTTTACTATCTGTATTAGTGGCTGATTGACAGCCATTCTGAAACTGTTCAGAATGTCGAAACCATTTCAAAATATGCCATCGTCAAGGTTCGGAATATTTTACTGTCTAGTATAACAGCATATTCTAAAACTTATCCTCAGTTACTCATTCCTTTTAATTGCTACCACTTATGCTTTTTACTTTTTGGTTTCAATGAACCCATGCTTTGTGCCCTTTGTATGTCCTGTTGTTCAGCTTCCACGGTCTTGTCTGTCATCATATCCAACAGAATTTCGAATTTAAGACGCAGCATATTGTTCTCCTCTTCCAATCTTTCTAGCTCTTTTTTAAGTTTTTGGTTTTCTTTATGTGCTGCACCCGCTTTGCCTGACGCTACAAGGTAATCAATATTAATAAAATAATTCCATAAAAGTTAATAGTTGCATATTTATAATAATATGAATAACTTCAAGAAAATTCTACGTTTACATAAATTATAAAATGTGATTTTGTATGTTTCTAACATTTACCTATTTGTTTGTTGTTTGTTAGGTACTCAATAGTGCAAAAACGGCTGAACGGATTTATATGAAATTTAGCACACAACATCCCGGAAAAAAGTTAGCACCTACGCGATTCTTAAAAAACTAAAATTTCGGGCGGAAGCTAGTGTGTAGATAAATAAAGTGTACCTGGAATCCATTGGCCTTCATCAAAAGATACTTCAAAATCGCCTAATTTTAAAGTCAATGGCCCTAAATCGAGAGACAATTCTTTCGAAGCATAATCACTACCAAACTCATTTTTTATCACAGAGGTGTCGTGTTTTCTGACAGGAATAGTTTTTGCCGAAAACTTATTACTGAATAATGGCATTTCGTATTCGATTACAGTAATTCACATTAAATTAATGCCCATTCCAATCACTTGTATCCATTTATAGTAAACTTCGATAAGAATAGGTTCATATTTCAAAACAATCCGTTTCCATGGTAACTGTTACCACTGTTGGAAATCGTAGAAGAAATTCCTTAATTTGTTAGTCTATGGTTAGTTGGATACTCTCATTACTATAAACTTATGGCAAAACTACACTTACTGAGGGAGCCATCACTGAAGAAATCAATATCTAACTTCACTTAGCTGATGTGTTGTGTTGTGATTGTGACGCGTCAGATGGGTATCGGTTTCATACATTTAGTATTACATTTGTGTCGCGATGTGTTGTGCCGATGGTTTTTGATGTGGCGCATCAGAGAGATGGGGGTAAAAGGGGCAAGGTAGCACATAGGTCATTGTTAGGACCTCAGGTCTACTACAAAAATCAGGTCATTATTAGGACTCTCCATATGGTAAAAACGAAGAATCATAGTTTAGAATAAATAAAACCAAAACTTAATTTAGAAACAAATTTAATACTGTTATTCGAGATATATTCACAAAATAGTTTTTTAAGATAAAAATATAAAATAGAGCAAAAAGTGTGTAAAACAATAACAAAAAATAAATAAATGGAATTGTTCATTACGACTTACTTCTAAAGTTATTGCTTGTTGTAAAAAGAGTAAATTGGACGTGAATGCTAAGGTAGGTACATTTCATGTCTTCAGTCTATAAATCATCACAGCTGGAATTATCAAAATTACTGATCCTATAGTGTAAGTGGTCGCTGCACCCGAACACCAGTAAACTGTGAACAAACGAACATAGACTATAGGTAAAGGTGTAGGTATCATAGAGGTATAAGAGTAGAGTAGGGGAGATATAGACTCTACTACAAGTGGAAGTGTCCCTCTAATAGAAAGAAGATGAGTCTGCTAGCTTTCTCTCTCTAATCGCGCATGCGCATTGGCAACCGTAAGCAAATTACTATTTTGATGTGATGCCATTGGATGCCATGCGTCACAAGAGAGAGAGATAGCTAGCCGTCTCTCATCTTCTTTCTCTTTCTACTAGACGGACACTTTTAGAGCCGCCTTCCCCACTCTATTCTTATACCTCTATGATAGGTATAGGTAGCGGCAATATTCTTGAGCAAAACCACACACAAATAAGTAGACATTTTTGTATATAAAATTGCAACTGCGCTGGCTTGCTTCCCTGTGGTCGATGTTCAAGAAGTAATACTTTAATTTGGGGACCAATTTAGGTTGAATATCGGACAGCAAAGAGATATTTAAGAGGTATCAAACCATTTCTGAGATATTTAAGAGGTATCAGTATTCTTAGAGATTACTCTAGATTCTAAGCTTCAATGGGGCCCACATATTGATAAATTGTCAAATAGACTTAGTTCTGCAGCATATGCCGTAATGAAGATACGCCAGTTAACGGATGTAGATACGGCCAGATTAGTATACTTTAGTTATTTCCATAGTGTAATGTCGTACGGAATTTTATTGTGGGGAAACGCCGCCGACATTCAAACTATTTTTGTGCTGCAGAAGAGAGCTATTCGATCAATTTATAATCTTAAAGTTAAGGATTCCTTAAGAGATAGGCTTAAAGAATTTGGTATAATGACGGTCGCATCACAATACATTTACGAAAATTTATTACTTGTAAGAAAAAATATTAATTTGTTTCTTAAAAACAGTGATGTTCACACACTTAATACAAGAAACAAAAATAAACTAACTTTACCTGCTACTAGGCTTCACAAAATCAATAATTTATTTAAAGGTCTTTGTGTTCGCTTATACAATAAAGTCCCAAGCAATATCCAAGAGTTAAGCATAAATAAATTCAAAGATAGTATAAAAAAAGCACTTATTAAAAAAGCTTATTACAAAGTGTCTGATTATATTACAGACAAAAATGCTTGGGTTTGAACTGTTCCAATCATTCCAACAGGTTTTCTATATTAAATAAATCATGATTGTATTGACGTTGTAACAACATAATGATTTGTAAATGTTGTTACATTATGCTTTTAATGTTGTGGAGTTTTTTTCGCTCGTTTTTCTCCGCAGCTAAAAAATATGTCCAATAACGAGTGGTAGGGAAAAAAAATGTTTGGACGATTCAAAAGTGTTGTACTATACATCCGATTTGAATAAAGATATATTGATTTCTGATTTCAACAGAATACGTTGATGAGACTTCTCGCTATGAACGAGTTGCTGATATAATAATACTGATAAATTAATATTGCTACGTGATGCAGCAATCATGGGGCCTATTCCCCTAGCGAGTGCGCCCAAAGAGCGCAGACTTCCCGCGGCCATCGACGTCATACATGACACTGCGAACGCAGTCGAGTTGCTGATATAATTATACTGATAATTAATATTGATACCTGATGCAGCAATCATGGAGTCTATTCCCCTAGCGAGTGCGCCCAAAGAGCGCAGACTTCCCGCGGCCATCGAAGTCATATATGATATATGGCACTGCGAACGCAGTTGGGTTGCTGATATAATAATACTGATAATTAATATTGATACCTGATGCAGCAATCATGGGGCCTATTCCCCTAGCGAGTGCGCAGACTTCCCGCGGCCATGACGTCATACGTGACACTGCAAACGCAGTCAAGTTGCTGATATAATAATACTGATAATTAATATTGATACCTGATGCAGCAATCATGGGGCCTATTCCTCTAGCGAGTGCGCCCAAAGAGCGCAGACTTCCCGCGGCCATCGACGTCATACATGACACTGCGAACGCAGTCGAGTTGCTGATATAATGATACTGATAATTAATATTGATACCTGATGCAGCAATCATGGAGTCTATTCCCCTAGCGAGTGCGCCCATAGAGCGCAGCCTTCCCGTGGCCATCGACGTCATATATGATATATGGCACTGCGAACGCAGTTGGGTTGTTGATATAATAATACTGATAATTAATATTGATACCTGATGCAGCAATCATGGGGCCTATTCCCCTAGCGAGTGCGCAGACTTCCCGCGGCCATGACGTCATACATGACACTGCAAACGCAGTCAAGTTGCTGATATAATAATATTGATAATTAATATTGATACCTGATGCAGCAATCATGGGACCTATTCCCCTAGCGAGTCCGCAGACTTTCCGCGGCCATGACGTCATACATGACACTGCAAACGCAGTCAAGTTGCTGATATAATAATACTGATAATTAATATTGATACCTGATGCAGCAATCATGGGGCCTATTCCCCTAGCGAGTGCGCCCAAAGAGCGCAGACTTCCCAAAACCGCGCCGCGCGCCTCCTCCGGGGCCTGCCCCGCGGCCATCGACGTCATACATGATACTGCGAACGCAGTCGCTAAAAACACCGGGCATAATTAATGGTGGGCAACCGTGAAGAATTAGAGGGATAATAATAATAATCTTTATTTCTTCTTCCACAATCTACAAATCACATGACAACTTATTATACTATAACTTTACATATGAACAATAAAATATATTGTGAGAGACTGGTGCCTGAACTAGGCAGAACACCTGTATCTCAGAGCACCAGGACTCTCCCTTTCGCTGGAGAATGCACAGCGAGCAAATTATAAGGTCATTGATCTTAAATTTAAATTTTAGGTATAGGAAGAAAAGAAAACATTTTATTACAATAGTGACACGATTACGCTTAAAATAAGAATAAATAAATACCTACAAGCTTTGATTTTAATCAAAGCCTACAAGTAACAACTTGCTTTAATGTTATAACTTTAACGAGTGTGTAAGTATATTTGGTACTTCAAATGTGAAAGCGTGAGAGCGATAAGGTCAGGCTTAATTATCGATGGGAGTGTAATAAATATAAGGTAAATAAGACTAAACCTGTTAATAAAAATTTAATGGGGTCCGTCGGTCAGAGACACTAGTGTCAATACTGGCATTCTCTAAATCTTAACTTAAATTTGACAACAGTGTATTCTTGTTATTCTATACAGAATGAAAAGGAGAGACTGATGTTAAATTTAGTTTTAAGTTTAGAGAATCATGCCAGCATCGACACCACTGTCAATGAATTAAAGACATGAAAGATTAAAGTTTTGCTCGAAGGCGCAAAAGGGAAGCGCGTTTGGTCTGCGATCGTGGAAGTTAAGCAACTTTCGCAATGACCGGTCAATGGATGGGTGACCAATAATTCGTTATCTTGAGCTCCTACGTGCTTCGCTAGGCACATTTAACCATTGGTCCCTAGGCTGTATCTGCAGTCATTAGCACCCACCAATCCACCACATAATAAAATGCCAGAAACAAAAAAGAACATAGTATTTTAAAGATAGCGCAAAACCTGTTTTAATCTTTCATGGTCACTAACATTTTAGTTATTTGCGGGATTGTATATCATGTAGTTTTTAATTACTCCGCGATCATGGCACTTGCAAGAGCGCCAAAATATCGGCTTCAAAGAAGAAGTACCTAGTACATGATAGCAATCCTGCTAGCAACGATGAAGCGAAAAAGTTGGGTTTTGAAGCATTTCCTATTTTACCTACAGTATCCTTAGCACGAACCAATTTCGGATTCGTAACGTTTGCGAGTGCGAAATGTCAATGTCAAATTTTGTATGGACACTTGAACTGCAGCGCCACGCAGACATAAAGTAAACAAAAAAATCAGTAGACATTTGACGTACATCTAGATCGGGTCGTGCTAAGGGGGCATGTTTAGACTTTTACTTACACACGGCGAACAATACAAGGCCGACCCACAGCCAGGTATTGGGCGTTACGATTGTTGAATGCGTCAGCGCAGCTAAGGCGACGCATAGGAATGACGGAGGCGTGAGCGCTAACGCCGCGCGCGCAGCTTTCTCGGCGCCAACTGTACCGAGCCTGCGGGCCGCGCCGCCTTGTAGTACGGCCATTATTAAACCTATTTTAACGGTAAATATTAGAGCTAGAATACACTTGCAACTAATCGCTTTGCAATAATCGCGTCGTCGCAAAATTCAAGTGTCATATAATTTTGTATTTGTATTTTGAAAAAGATAAAGTTGAGAATCTAAGAAGAAATACAGTCTGAAATGAAAAAAAATATATCTCAAAACTAAGTTTGGGTGGGTTGGATTCTTTTCATTTAACAACGTCCTTATTGAACAGACAGACATCAACCTCATTTAAATACTTTTCGATGCTAATTATTGCGTGCAAAATATCGTTGAAGGTGCGCGCTGCGATAGATTCATATGGAAACGATCCCTGTGCAACTACCGCGTTGCACCAAAATTGCGGGACCAAGCAACTAATAAAATTGCAGATAAATCGTTTTAAAACTATAGCAAGTGTGGACGCACGTGCAAATATGTATAGTATACTTTCTTGCAGTGGCATGGCAAGACCTAAATTTGATGTGGGCAAGACAGATTTCGCGAGGCCCTGTTCTGTGGCGACCTGAAGACGGATTTTATAAAATAATAAAAAAAAGATGCATAAAAATTTTTGAGGCGCGAGGCCCCTTGTACCGCGAGGCCGTAGGCGGTGGCACGTCGCCCACGCCTTACGCCGCCTCTGCTTTCTTGAGGTCCGCAAAACTATCGCACTGCAATTAATTGTAAGTGCGCTCTAGCTCTTAGTTGTCCTGCTAGACTAGAAGTGAAAGAAAATTGATTGCAAGCTGCAAAATTTTTGCGTGCCATGAACAGGGTATTCGAATACTATAGAGACAATGGGCTGGTAATATACGCAGAGCAGTTAATGCGACGCATAGGAACGACGGATACGAGAGCGGTAGCGCCACGCGCGCTACATTCTCGGCTCCGACTGCATCGAGCCAGCGGGCCGCACCGCCTTGTAGTATGGGTATTATTAAACCTATTTCAACGGTATATATAAGTTGTCCTGCTGGACTAGAAGTGGAAAAAAAAATATTGCAAGCTGCTAAATTTTTGGGTGCCATGAACAGGGTATTCGAATACTATAGAGACAATGGGCTGGTAATATACGCCGAGCAGTTAATGCGACGCATAGGAACGACGGATATGAGAGCGGTAGCGCCACGCGCGCAGCGCTCTCGGCTCCGTCTGTACCGAGCCAGCGGGCCGCACCGCCTTGTAGTACGGCCATTATTAAACCTATTTCAACGGTATATAAAAGTTGTCCTGCTGGACTAGAAGTGGAAGAAAATTGATGCCAAGCTGCTAAATTTTTACGTGCTATGAACAGGGTATCCAAATACTGTAAAGAGAATGGGCTGGTAATAGAGTTTCTAATAGAGAAATCTGTCTTAGTTCGGGACGCGAAAAAAAAATCGTTACACTCACACACACAAATTAGTGTTACCTAATACGATTACAAAAAAAAACTTTCTGAAGAAAACGATGAGCCTAAACATATTCTTCAGAAAGTTTTTCTTGTTATTTGTAGAAGAGTAATAATAATCTATTTATTTCTCTCAAGAAGGGGTACAGAGTCTTATATAATAAAGTACTTTTTAAAATATGCAGGGGTCCATATGATAATACGTGCTCTTTTGAAATCTGGCGCCACGGGCCACAATATAATACAATTATACAATTGTATTATATTGTGGCAAATAATACATACGTGTAAAATAATACAATTTGCGGAACAAATCTATAATGGTAGTTGGCTCTATAATCCGCCTAAAATTCGGTGCGGTCAAATGTGTGATCAATATTTTTATGGCTTGCGCAGACGAGGTACTTCTGTCCGCAAAAATAGCTTACAATTGCATTAAGTAACGCACACGAGGAATTATAAGTCTCGCGTACAAAAAGTTCCCTGAACAAACGAGAGGCAGGACAGGACAAAAGAACGCGAGAGTCCCCGAAAAAAATAAGACTAATGTGACTAGGCGCAACAACGCACACAGCGTTTACTTGACAGAGATGTGCGCTCGATCAAAACGTCTTCTTATTTTCTTAAACTTTGTGTTCCTTAAAACACATCGTAATCTGAAAATATTTACTTCCATAAAGTGAGCTTCTCTTGTTTTCTAGCAAAAAATGTACGCACGCCGTGTGCGTTGAGTCCGTGACAATTTCAAGGGACTTGTCCTACGCGGACAAAAGTCGCTCGCCTGCGCAGGCCATGGGCTAGGCAACTTACCTATAACCAAAAACATTTTCCCTTGTTGCATTGCGGTGTAACCAAATGTATGGTGAGTTAGGAATGTTATAGTAAACTCGAGGCCCGAGTATATAAACAAATATAAGAAGTAAATAAGACCCAGCTTGTTAAGGACTTTGTTTTGGTGAGAAGATAGTTTCTTTACCGCCGTAAATCTTAGTAAATGCCAAGGTGAGACATAATCCACAGATTTAGAAATCGTGAGCGAAAGAGGTGCACGTTTTTCCTGAAAACAATGGAAAATTAAATACAAAGTCATTAGATACATTTCATAGTGCTATTTTGATTCAAGACCAACTCATTGGGTGCTGAAGTAAGGTGGGGCATTAAAAAGAATCATGTTAAAAAAGGTAAAACTGAGCAAGCATACTATTTCTTTTTTATACAATAATTTCTTGTGCATTCATAAAATACTTACTTTAGGTAAAGTCTCCGGTATACATAGCAGTACAACAAAAATATTCGCTAAGGCAAGAGTTAGAGCACAATAAGCTGGTTTCTCTCCCCAGGCACCAGATGAAATTTCGCTGCTTTTTGCAAACCACGCTCCAGCTAATGGGCCCACTATAAATCCAACGGAGAAAGCTAATCCTATTAAAGCCTGTAAAGTAACAAAATAAATAAAAACAATTGCACTGACGGGTCGGATCCGCCATGCGAAACGCAAAGGGCCAAATGTAAAGCCGCGTATCCACTAGAGGCAGCCTCGCGTCGAGCGGCCTCGACTTGAAGCAAATAGCCTTAGTTTGAGGCTGCTTTGTTTGAAGCTGCTTTCTCTGAGGCAACGGCTACGGATCAGCTCGAGGCGTGTCGCCTCAGCTTGATCCGCTGGCAGCGCACTGCGCAGTTAAAAGCCAAAAAGCGATGGCACCAGACGCGCGTCGAGTAGCTGCTGCTTTAATAGCAATAACCATTATTAAGAAAAAGAGGAGGCAACAAAAAGCTATACAAAAGAGGAAGCATCGCTGGTGGATAAAAGAATTATACCGCAATAAAACTATACATGGATGTGAACACTTGCTATTGGACATGACGTTGGAAGGTGGCGATAGCTTTCGAAATTTTAGCGATCGTCTCCATTAAACACACGGCTCGGACTGAGGCGCCTTTGAGCACGGCACAGAAACCGACAAAATATGGCTCGGCTCGCGGCGACGAATTTGCCTCGCGTCGCGGCGTGCCTCAGGTTGAGGCAGCGTCTCCACTTACGCAGCCTCGGAGTGTGGCAGCCGCTCGACCCGAGGCTGCCTCTAGTGGATACGAGGCATAAGCCAACTACCAGTAAACTGCTAGTACTACTTGAGTAGTACTGGGGTTTTATGAAAATTCTATGAAATATTCTCGTTTAAATCTTTGTCGCAACAAATTGTTGTAATAAATCGGCAAAATTAATTTTGTGAAAATTTCAGGTGTCTACTATTTCTGTTCAATGGAGAAGAGCCCTGTGTGACAAACTGACCGATAACGAAGGCATATTAATATTGTGTTTGTCAGTTTTAGGTGTCAGTAGATCGGGGAGCGGTACGGTGGGAAATAGGCTGCCTGCTTAGCTCCAAGCGCGGGCCATCCTGTGCAGAATGATCACCCGATAGATAGCCCTGGAGATCCCTGCCGTGGAGTCCCCGCTAGGCCTGGGAGGCTGTCAGGTACAGGGACATGGTGAACTCCCTTAACGGGGATCCCATGTTTCGCACTTAAAAGTTGAAGAGGGGATTCGCAGGGGTTTTTAGTGGATCGTATATGCCGGAGGAGCTTGTAAGTCGCACGAGTTGCTTTAACGGCTGGCGCCCTCGCTTTATCGCGCCCGTGAGACTTCGCCTTTAAGGGCGTCAGTGTCAGTAGATAAAGATTTTGCCTGCGTTAACAAAAAAAGGTAATGGTATATACGAAGTTTGAAAATTCAAATAACTAATGCTGTTTCAATTTGTTTTATTAATTGTGACTCGGATTTAAACACTGGCACTATCTTAAATAATACGTGCCAGTGCCGAGATTACCAAGAAATGTTAAGAATTTATCCTCTTCTTAATTTTTGTACCTACCTGGCATAATTTAATGAGATTTTAAGTTTAGGTTGACGCTTCAGCAGTGGCGCTCGCCTTCAAACTGCTTTTGCCGATGTTCAGGCCTTCTTTATGATGGCACATAACAAGTGTCTGTGATAATTTTTCTTTTAAAGCATTTAACTGCCCGGATAGCGAAGGATGCGGGTTCAAGCCCCGTCTGCTGCCTGGCCCGCGCGGAATGTTTTCTAGTAAAATTTTCTTTAGATTCAAACATCAAATATTTGTCATGTTTGAAAAGTAATAGAAATGCGTATTTAAGCGGTTAGTTTAATGATTAAACGATTTTTATTTGCTAGGTAAAAACATATTAATACATAGGTACATGATTTGATTTTGATGATTTTTTACGCGTATCATATCAGATAGAAATGGAATATCGTAATGTTTGGAAGGTGTTTAGAGGACGATTGTTAAAGGTTAGGAATTTAAATAATAATTTCCTGTTACGAGAGCCAACTTGTCAGCCCAATACAAATCAATCCTAGTAGTAGGACTAGTACCTACAAAATACAATGTTTAATATTTATAAGGGGCTAGTTATAAACATTAATAAATGATATCATATGACCCATTTACGACTTCTGATACGAATTGATAATGCCTTTAATATTATCAGAAAGATAGGTAGGTACCACATTATTTTCTCTGCCAAGATAAAATACTATAAAAATTACGAAACTACCGATCTCACTGATTAGAGAGATTTTATTGTTTCATATTGTATCAATTTTAATTCATGTATGCGTATACTCAGGTTTGATTAATCTAATATAACATGATTAATAATAGATTATATTGAGGACCTTGTCTAATCAGTTTATTTAATAGTTATACACACAGGTTAAAACTGTAACGGACGCGCCGCGCGCGGCCTTCTTGCGACTGAAGAAGACTTAAAAAAAACAAATACCTATCTATGGATACTCTTATGAAATTAACTAATTAACTATTTTTTTATGTACTAGCGGCCGCCCGCGAATTCGTCCGCATTAACATAAGTTTATTAAGAATCCCACATGAATCTATTTTTTACCAGAGTGAAAATTATCCTTTGTCTCAGTCTAGTTTATATCTACATGCGAATTACGTAAATGGACGTAAGGAAGATCGCTTACGTAGCAACCACGGCTTACTACGATGCACCGACACCAAGGCCAAGCTGCCACGAGTTGCCGACGCTGCATTCTTATGCTGTTCAATTCATTAATATTTCGAAGGCATTCTGGTTCCGACCTCGAACCGATCGTTAGGTTATTTAGACGTAATTTTTACATGTAAATTTTTCTTTTCTATTAAACTCATATAAAAATAATTGGTTTTTTTTTCGATCCTCCGGCTGTAACAAACGTAATTGGCGCAGTCGGTAGGATCCTCGCGGCCGATTCGCGAATAATTAGGGATCTGTATAGCAATTCCGCGATCGCGAGTCGCCCGGGCGGCTTCCTAGCCCCGTTGGCCGAGGATCCTGAATCTACGGACCTGCTGCAGACCAGAGGAGAATCCAAATATCGATTCCAGAGGGAAAACCAGTTATGCTGTACATGTAAGTACACTTGAATTTTTCTCGTGTTGCTTTTCCTTATTCCATTATTCCTAGTTTTTAAAAGACGTAAAAATTTTTCATCCTAAGAGTTTAAGAGTTCGGCAACCTGTATCGCAACAGGCTCGCCAACACGCTGTAGATTTATATAGGGATATAGATACAGATTTATTAGCTGATTTAAATTTGATAATGATGTCATCAGGCAACCCCACTGAAAGTGTAGCTCCTGTTAGAATGGATACGGATACAATTTTCAAGGCCCTTCGCCTTGTACCCGATTTTGACGGGAACCCGAATATATTAACCAGATTTATTAATATTTGTGACCGAATAGTGACTGAATATGTTAAGGAAGGCCCACAGTACAGTTTTACTAACGATTGCTTACTGAACGGAATACTTAACAAAATTTCTGGTAACGCTGCTTCCACTCTCAACTCAAACGGAATTCCAGACAATTGGTTAGGCATTAGAACAGCTTTGATTAATAACTTTTCTGACCAAAGGGATGAAACAGCCCTTTATAGCGATTTATCCCTGGCAACTCAAGGGAACAAGTCACCCCAAGAGTTTTACGAACATTGCCAAACCCTATTCAGCACTATTATGACTTACATTAGCCTACACGACCCAGCTAGCAAAATTTGGTCTTACAGATATCCTAAGACCACTTTTATTTTACTCTTGATTTACACTTTCAAAGATCTGTAAGTGTCGATTTGGGCGCACTTTGTAAGTGTGTTTGCCCTTACTGTTATTGCATTAAGGTCTTGAGGAGAGTATTTTTAATCTTACAATGATCTGCATATTGCTTATTTAGTGCTTTATACTCTTACAAATACCTTACACTGGCAATGTTAAAGGGCAAAAAGTCCTAGTGAAGTCTTACTAATGCCGTTCTAAGAGTGATTTCCCTGATTTAAGTCTTACTAATGCCGTTCTAAGAGTGATTACCCTGATTTGTCTCTTCGTGACGCTCCTTTAAGAGTATTTTTGACCACTACCGAATATTGTTTGTATCGCGACTGTGCGCAACATTTATTCTAATCTTCAAATGTGAATTAAAGTAAGTATTTAAGTTTAATTTAATTTTGACTTGTTGCTGACAATTATATTTGTGCTTTCGTGTTACTATAAGACTATAAGTTGAACTACTTGCGAAGTACATTTATTCGAAGGAATTGTAAAATAAATAACTTTGCATACTCGGGCCATTTCTCATGTGAGTTTTAAATAATAATTTCATTATTGTTTTTTAGTCGAAATATTACAAAATCTCTCAACTTTTCTATAATGGCCGATATCGCAATAGTGTGCTCTTGGTTTAGCGCGAATAAAGCTCGATGTATCTTATATGGCTCTTGTTAAATACGTTGTAAGTTCAATGTTCTTTATACACACTTGCATAAGGAATGTTCGACCGCCATTGTTGGTATGTAATATTTAGGGTTCCTTGGGCCAGATAGAAGGATCCTTTTTTGAATCGCGTGAAATGCTGTATGCCACGGTGGCCGAAACAGCATTCCTGAACACTGAAAATGGAAGAGTCATTAGGAACTTCTAATACTTTATTAAACATTTTTTTTTTATTGTTGTTCTAGAGTAGCCTGCAGTATTAGAATGGTTATTATAATGGATGTCGATTGTTTTTTAAATAAGAAAATAATCAGAAAACTCAAGAACAAAAAATGGCCTTGGACCTTAACGCACTTTATACTGTCTAAAAAATGTATCGCTTGTGAATACGCTACATCATACGACAATCCACAGAAACCCCTACATTTTAAGATAAGACATAATGATATAATTAAATTATTGCACTCAAGTTTCTTCTGGTGTCAAAACTGCCAAGAATTTGCAATATACGACCACTACCCAAATGACGAATGTGAAGTATGCAACTAACTAACCGATTATAATAAGCTAAAAATCCTCATAAAAATATAAATACGTAAATAATAATAATTTAGGTAGGTAACAACTATTTATCAC